TAATATCACTTTCCCTACCACATTGCGGTGTTGTGAGGATAAATACATTAAAGGTTGTAAGACACTCAGATATTTCAGTGATTTGTGCTAAATAAGTATCTTATTTCACATCTTCCAAAAATTCAACACTGATAGGGTGAAAAACATTATTTGACTTCCACTAAGCAAAGAATTAACTCCAGCCTCATCTCTCTCAAAGGTGTTAGGAAAGTGGAGGCCTGATCAGGCGCTCCAAAGAAAATACTACTATTAAAAACAATTGAGTGATTGGATGGAAGAGGATTTTGTGGAACTTTGCCTCCTCCCAGCAGTTATTACAAGCTAAGGTTTAATCCAAGTTTGGAAAAGCAGGAAGTTTGGAACTGGCAAAGTTTTGCTTAGTTTCTTTTAATGTGGGCACACGGCGGGTCAAGAATAAAGCCTTGGATAAAAATTTCACTTGGTGAAAGACTTACCTTGTTGCTGAAAAAGCTGATCCTTTGTTGGCACATTGGGCTACATAGAAGACCATAAACAACCTCCTAAACTTTTACATCCATGTTTTAAATGGATCAGATTGTGTTGGTATATAACTAGTGGAGTGCGGATACCAGAACTGGTGTGTTGCAGTTGGATCCTTGCTTATAAGACAATACACAACAGTATATCGTTGGGGAACTGGTTGCTAAGGAATTACATGATTGAAAGAACTTCAAAATTAAAGTTCTGGTACCCACACTATACTGCCTTCTGAGATGTATCCTTGGTAACCCTAAATTCAGTTAGAGAAATTAGGATTTCTTTGCACAAACCTCCCTAATTGAGACGCTTCATCAAGAAGTGAAGTTTGTTTGTTTTTTTTTCCTCACTGCTATGCTGTATTTTCTACCAGTATATTTAGTGAAGCTGCACAGGATAATTGATGAAACACTGAACCCTGATTATCAAGTTAGATAACTCATGATTTTCTGATATAGTCCTCTGGGGAGATCTGAATAGCAGTTTTTGCATTATGCCTCTTTAAAGCACACCTGCATTTTTAACAGGAGGAACTAAGGAGCACTCTGGGAGCTTAACAAAGACAAGTTAAACAAGATATGAATAATTGGCATGGCATTATATTAGTATGCCTATAACTGCTTTAATTTTACTTTGTTCACAGGGTCACTTACTTTTCCTATACTCTCCCACTGAAATTTTTGCACATTTACTCTGACAGTAACTCTCTTGCAATCTCCCATCAGTCTGTAGAGCACAAAGAGAGTGAATATTTATAGCACTTATTTTAAAAAAGATGTAATCCTCTTCTGTTTGGTACGAGAGAGATGCAGACCTAAGTGTGGGATCTGTTCCTTTAAAAACAAAAACTACACCCATATTCCTCTAGGAGCAGTACTTACTGTTATAAAGAAAATCTATTTATTTGCTTACAGAGGACGTCTTTGTCATTGTGATCTTGAGATGGTTGCTATCATAGGCCCCAACTTCCACTGTTCCTGGTGGGTGCTTAACCCTACCCATGCCCCTGCACTGCCTCACCCCATTCCACCCCTTCCCCAAAGTCCTTGCCTCTTCTCTGCGTCCTCCTTTGAGTGTGTCACGTCCTCGCTCCTCCCCTGTCCCGAAGCACCGCCAAACAGCTGTTTGGCATCGGGAAGCGCTGGGAGGTAGGTGGAGGAGCGGGGACGCGGTGCACTTCGGGGGGCGGGAAGGGGCTTGGCTGTTGGTGGGTGCAGAATACCGACTAACTTTTCCCTAGGGGTTCTCCAGCCCTAGAGCACCCACGGAGTCGGCGCCTATGGTTGCTGTCTTAGCTGGAGCTATTTTAGAGGAGAAAACTGTAGAACTCTCTGGAATTTATATTAGAAGACAATTGAAGGACTTGGAAGCTTCAAATGCCAAAGAGGAGAAAAGTAAAGTTTCTGTTTAACTTTTTTTTTGGTAGTATGCCATTTGTTCTGAGGGGTGGGTGTGTGTATGCATGCATGCATGCATGCATGTATGTTTCCCATGACATGAACACACACATCAAAGACATTTTGAAGAAGAGAGGTTATTTTTCTTTAACCTAACATTTAAAGTATCTTCTGATATTCCTGGGGATCAGGAGGAGGGAGTAGGTGGAATTGTGGTGGGCTTTACAATCCTACTGCAAGTAATATGTAGAAGAAGTGGAGACAAAACACGATTTTGAATGCTTTAAACCATGTATAACTTACTGTTTTATAAGTAAGATATTTTTCTCAGAATATCTGAGCTCCAGCAGGGAGGGAAGCCTTCTGGGATGGTAATAGAGGTTGTGGGAGGATCCAGAGATGCCAGGAAAGATTCCATCTAGGCCAGGGCTCTCAAACTCAATTTACCTTAGTGCCAGTCCTCAAATCCTCCCAGTAGGCCAATAATGTCACTCATGCTGCCCAAAAAAACTCTACCCCCCCCACCTGCCTAAGGCTCTGGGAGGGAGTTTGGGTGGGGCAGGGGGTCTGGGGGTGCTGGGTGCAGGCTCTGGGCTGGGGGTGGGGTTGCAGGCCCTCAGATGGAGGAGAGGTGCAGGCTCTGGGAGGGAGTTTGGGGGCGGGAAGGGATGGGGGTGCAGGCTCAGGAAGGGGGGGGTGGCAGCACTTACCTGGGGCTCCGGGCCGGGCCAGGGGGCTTCTGCATGCTGTTTCACCCAGGCACTGCTCCCGCACCTTCCCATTGGCCGCAGGGGCAGTGCGCGGAGGCACAGCCCTGCCCAGGGGCCGCAAGGAGGGGCCGGCAGCCATGTGGAGCAAGCGTGCAGGAAGCTGCTCAGCTCTGGTGCACTGCCAGTGGTGAGAGGGGCCCTGGGCCGTTTTAAATTGTCTGGGGGACGCGTGGGCGGGGGAGCACCCTGGGGTGGCAGGCAGGGCCAAGGGAGAGATCCTGCCCCCAAATTGCTGGAGCTCCGTGGGCCATGTTGGGGAGGTTCTCGGGCTGCAAATGGCTGGGACTTTGAGACCCCTGATCTAGGCAATGAAAAGAGTGTGGGATGGTTGAGAGAGAGGGTTTGGAGGGAGTTGGATACAACTGCAGCTGGGGCCAGAAGCTTTCTGGAAGATTGCCACACTGTTAGAAGAAGCTGTGAGGGAAGGTGAAGGGGGGAAAACTTTGATGCTAGAGTACATCAGTCTAGAAGTTTCTAAGACCTCATTGTGATATTGTTTGACATTGTGGAAGGATTTCAGCTTATGCACATGGCATAGGAGACAAATCTGATCCTTTCCAATCAATTTGTTTGAAGTAGATAACTTACAAAAAACTCTGTTCTTGTATTTTGCATGAATATACAGTGTACTGATAGTTCAATGTATTCCAAGTACTGATAATTCAAAGTTAGCAAATATTTATAGTGTAGTAGAACTGTTTGTGCTTTCAGAGTAACAGCCGTGTTAGTCTGTATTCGCAAAAAGAAAAGGAGTACTTGTGGCACCTTAGAGACGAACCAATTTATTTGAGCATAAGCTTTCGTGAGCTACAGTTTATGCTCAAATAAATTGGTTAGTCTCTAAGGTGCCACAAGTACTCCTTTTCTTTTTGTTTGTGCTTTGTAATCAATGCACAGATTTATTTGCTTGCTTCAGTTGAATGTGTGGGAGGTGCTGAACTTCCTTGGAAATAAAATATGAAGTTCAGCAGTCACATTAAGGGTATGTTTAGACTGCAGCTGGGAGTTTTCCTCCCAGTCTTGGTAGACTTTAGCACACTGGCTCAAACAGAGCTAGCACAGAATAGCGGTGTAGACGTTGCTGCATAGACAGTAGCTTGGGCTAGCTGCCCAAGTCCAAGCCTGTCTGATCTTGGGTGGCTGAATCAGCACCTGTGTAGCAATGTCCACACGGCTATTTTCATGCTAGCTCTGAGGTAGCACAGTAAATTGGTCTACCTGGGCTGTGAGGCATGCTCCCAGCTACAGTACAAATGTACCCCCTAACCGTCAATCTGTTTCTACTCTGTTTCTACTCTGAAGGCAATCTGTTTCTACTCTGAAGACTTTCTTTTGGCACCTTAAGGGTCCCAATTGTGTGGATGCGGCTTCCTGTGAATAAAGGAGAACGGAACTGGGTCATTTGGGGGGAGCATATTAATTTCTGATATAACTAACTCGATCTGCTTCAGGGGAATTATACCAGGGAGAATTTTGCTCTGGTGAGAACTTCAGACCTGGTGTAAACAGGTGTAGTTTCTATGTTCGTTCCCAGACTCAGTTCACTGGTTCTCATAATAGGTTGTGTACTTGTTGCAAGTTGGTTAGAGAACAGGTGCCCAGTAGTGACAATTTATACTAATGCTTATTCTTGTTAGCAGAGCCAACTGGTTGTTTGGGTGAATAATTTTTTTTTGTTTGGCCAGTGAAGTGAAAAATCGGGGAAATACTCAGTTTGAAAAGTCCTCAGAATTTATCAGCAAATCAGAAAAGTCCATTTCAGTTGTTTTTTAAGGGCCAGCTTCAGAGAGACAAGGTGGGTGAGGTAATAGCTGTTGTTGGACCTACTTCTGTTGTTGAGTGAGACAAGCTTTCCAGCTTTCACAGAGCTCTTTTAATCTGTAGAGTCATTTGTGCACGCGTGAGTGCTCTCTCTCTCCCCTTCTTCTCCCCCCCCACCACTGAAGCTAGCCCTAAAATCTTTTTCCGAGATGAAGCTAATGGGGTCAAATTTGTGAATGCTTTTGAGTTGATCGAAACTGTGTTTTTCAACAGATCTATTTGTCTAAAATATTTTCCCCAGCTCTAGTACAAACATCAACATTTCTAGCCCCCAAATCTCACAGATCCATGTAGATCTCAGGTGCTCTACAGGAGATCAGGGTCTGGAGTCGCCATGCTGCTCTGTTGGTGCTGGGGTCCTCATAGCTATCCAATAGTTTCTGATAGTAGCTCACCGTTGCCAGTGCTGCCTTCACTGTTCCTGTCAGCTGCTGTGGGCCTCTTCTGTGCTTCGCAGACCCTCTCCTCTGTGGAAATGGTAAATGCACTTAGGACTACTTTTTTTTTTTTTAAGTGGTGTTCCTACTGGATACTGAAAGATGAGGACAGCACACATTCTCTTTCCTCAAGCCTGCTCCTCTCCTCTCCTGATTTGAACCCACAGAAAGAAGTTATAGGGAGAAAATTCTAGGCTCTGGTGAAAGTCCGGGACTTTGAAAGGCTATAAAACTTTGGCAGCAGTTCATGGGAGGAAATACAGTAGCCTCTAGTGAGTAACTGGTATCAGCTGGCTTATAAATACTGTATGCCTTCAGAAATGTATTATATACGTTATGATGGGGAACGAATGATTTATTAATGGAATTTGTCAATATGGGATCTCTTTCAATCATGTTTATTCCATAGGCATTTGTTTTAGTGGCTCAGTTTGAAAACGGATATTTTGTATTTACACTGGAAAAATTAACTTTGATGCAATATATAGTGATTCGTTTTTGATTCCGTCTAGTTCTGTTTATTTTTTGGGCTTTAAAAATTTTTTTAATTGTATTATGATGGTGCTGCCTTCAACATTGCTGGGACTTCTTAGAGGTTTTCTTTCTGAAAACATGCCTCCTTGGTGTGTCTCTTTTTTCTCCATTTTACTGTATAAGGGAGCAATACAAGTGCTGTTTGCAGAATGTTGTCAGTCCTTTGGGAGGATTTCTACTTCCTAGAGTACTGCAGCCTGGAGGGAAAGAATTCCAAAAGAGTAATGTGTTAATAGGGAGAAAAATTGTTTAATACAACTGTGACCCCCCATACAAACTTCAGGTGAAACAGTGTGAATAAAAAAACACTTTATCTGATGTGGGGGTAAAATCTGGCTAAGTGCTATGGTGTATACAAGTCTGTTAATCACTCTTTCTCTTGTAGGTGTGTACTGAGGCAACAGCTATTGGACTATGGCATCCGTAAAGGTTTGGTGTATTTTAGTCCTGAGCTTTCTGCTGCCTCATTCTTATGCCCATATGGACTTCTTCACTTCAATTGGTGAGATTTACTTCTGTATGTACAGTGAATAACTGCAGAGCTGTGTCTGCCAACTTTCAGAACTGTCTCTGCGGTGATGTGATTAAAGATGAAGCTGTGTGCTCTATTAATTAGCATAGCTCTAAATGCACCAATAGTTTTACATGCCCTGCTTGCTTTTTTTATCTTTTTGAGGGAAAATTTGTATTCAAATCAGTTCTGTTAAAATGACAAGAGGTCAGGATACACAATCATTGTCTACTATTACAGATATTGGATTCAAAACCATACTTTGGTTTGAGAGCCGCTTTTTGTGAATTGAGTACATGAAATAACTCTTGATTAGGATGTACAATTCCAGCATTTCAGGATCCCATCTTTCTCCTCCTCGATGTTTTAATTGTGTATGAAGCATTTGTTAAACTAGCATTTACCCTAAGGTTAAGTGGTTCAGCTGCCTGTTTGCTGTATTTCCTGTAGGATTTACTGCTTTATGAATTTGTAGCTGAGAAACAATCTGTCAGTGCAAGCAAAGCAATTTAAACAAATACTACTTTGTGTATCGCCATAATTAATTCTTTCCATATTTGCTATGTACCAGATGTATTTGAACAAGAGCTTACTCCTTCGTAGCCTTTATTCTCTTCTAAATGAGTCCTGAATTAGTCATAATGTTAAATTTGTGACACTCCATTCACTTCCATGGCAACAAGCTATGTCAAACACAGGACTGTGTCTCTCTACTGTAAGTTCCATCAAAAGGAGAGAAATCTTTTTTGAACACCTCTTCATGGATAATAAGAACACCACAGAATGTCCAGCCAAGTAAACACGTTCTTGAATGTTTTCTTTTTTATGTGCCCAAGTTTGTTCCAATGGGAAATCTCTCTGAAATCAGTGTTTCTCAACTTTCTTGATACCAGGGACTGGCTTGCTGCCTTCCTAAGGTGTGTCAGAGAGATCTCAGGGGCCAGAGACAGGGCCAGTGGTTGAGAAACACTGCTCTAAATGAGGAGGATCAAGAAGATCTAATAATCAATTGAAATCATTACTTCCTCTCTAGGTCACATGACAGACTTAATTAACACAGAAAAAGACCTGGTGACATCACTGAAAGATTATATTAAGGCAGAAGAGAGCAAGCTGGAACAGATCAAAAAGTAAGCAGCTGGTTTCATAACACTAATATTTAATTGTGATTTCATCTTCATGTACAAGAAGGTTCCTGAAGGCTGAAAAGGAATTTATTGCCTGTGGGGATAAAGATTAATTTGTAATTTCTGCAAGATTTTTGTCCTAAATGAATGTCTCTTTTGTGAGACATCATTTTGTTTTATTAATTATTTTTTATGGTGGTGAGTCTAATTTCTGTATTGAGAAATTTTGATTTCTCTTGGCAGGATTCCCAGGTGAGTCTAGTTCTTTCAAAAACATGCGTTGCTGATAGGAAATGAGCAAACCAAAAGTGTGTGTGTGTGTGTTAGAGAAAACATAATGATGTGCTGTAGCTTAAAAAGTTTTAATATATATTGCAGTGGCTGCAGTGTGGGTAAGCTGTAACTAGTCCAACAGGCCTCCCAAATGAATTCTAGTAAGTCATTACAAAAACACCCCATGCCATCATCTCTTCTGTATATGTGTGACATTGCACTCTCTATGCTTTTATAAAAATATGCTAATGAGTGTAAATATAATGTAACTGGAATATGCTTCATGCAAAAGGTCTCTTGTAAGGTATCATTACAAAGCTTACAATCTACTGAGTGTGGGCATCCTATTTGTATAAATGTATCACTCCTGTATCTAAAACTAGAAATATAAAATATAACTGTTATTTCGAAGTAGTTATGCAAAGTGTGAGCCATTAATAGTGGTTTGGAATCGTAATGGCTCCCATTAGCCAGGACAGTTACCTGTAGATGGCTGTGTTTTACTTGTAAGTCTTCCTGTATACCTGTGGACTGGCAAGTGGGTAATGAAGTCTTACAGTGACATGTGATCATGTCACTTGAACTGGAATCCATCTTCAACCTGGTGCTTTTCCATTGAGAAGAGGGGTGGGAACCCAGAGGGACAAAGGATTCCCGCCTTATGCCAAAGATATATAAATGGGTGGAACAGAACAAAGGGAGCAGCCATCATGAGAAATCCCCTAGCTACCACCTAGGCTGGAACAAGGGCTGTACCGGGGAAAGGATTGTGCCCGGACTAGGAAGGAGTCCAGTCTGTGAAAGAAACTTACTGAAACATCTCTGAGGGTGAAATTTTATCTGTATTCAGTTTTATTACTGTACTAGACTTAGACTTGCAGGTTTTATTTTATTTTGCTTGGTAATTCACTGTTACTACTTGCAACCACTTAAATTCTACTTTCTGAAGTTAATAAAATCACTTTTTACTTATTAATTAACCCAGAGTATGTATTAATACCTGGAGGGGGAGGGAACTGTTCGTATCTCTATCAGTGTTACAGAGGATAAACAATTTGAGTTTACCTTGTATAAGCTTTATACAGGGTAAAATGGATTTATTTGGGGTTTGGACCCCATTGGGAGTTGTGCATCTGAGTGTCAAAGACAGGAACACTTCTTAAGTTGCTTTCAATTAAGTCTGCAGCTTTGGGGCATGTGGGTCAGACCCTGGATCTGTGTTGGAGCAGGCGGGCGTGTGTGGCTCAGCAAGACAGGGTGCTGGAGTCCCAAGCTGGTAGGGAAAGCAGGGACAGAAGTAGTCATGGCACATCAGCTGGCCACCCCAAGGGGGTTTCTGTGATCCAACCCATCACAATATTCCATACATTTTCATAAAAGCTGAGTTGGTTTAAATAAAAAACAACTACTTTGAAACTGTACCAACTAACATTTTGTCCAACAGTAAAGATTTTAGGGGAAAGGCCCAATATCTCAAAATGTATCAGCGTTGGGGATGGGGGGGGGAACCTTGTCCCGCTGGAAAGGGGAATTCCTAGCTTTCAAATGACTTTTTTCTATGTAACTTAATCTCTTCGTAGCATAGCCATGGTGGGATATGAGTTTTATGACCATTCATTATGTTAGCGGTCCAAAAGATTACTGCCTGTATTACATCTTGGAGCAATGTAACTTAAAGAGGGAAACTTTTATGTCCAGCTATATTTATTTATTTACTTTATTTTTGTGGCTTTATAAAATACATCTGTTTGAAGTCATACATAGGTTTGAAATGTTAGAAGTAGGCCATACAGCCACAAATTAGTGATCACTGGGCAGATGAAACCGTCAAAGGAGTGGAACTTTATCACATAAGCATCATTACTGCATGTGTATGTTATATAGACATTGAATTCTTTGGTTTTTAACCTGCTGATGTACAAGTTAAAACAAAAACTTCCTGTCTTTAAAACTTACTGGACACCATTCTACATCTGCAGGGAATGAATACATTCCATTGGCTCCTGAAGTTGGGAAAATAGGGCCCATCAATCTGTGGGTGGATTATGGTTGGGTTTATACAGTATGGAAGCTTATTAGGAACGAAATCTTGGCTTCAGCCTCCAGTCTTATGGTTGTAAAGATGGTTTGTAGCCACTTATTAACTTTAAAATGGTCATATACTAGTAAAAATGCTATCAATTCAGTGAAATCCCATTATCAGTCTTTTTTGTTAACACATTGTTAAAATCTGGAAGCGTTACACAGAGCAGCCTGTTCAATCCCCGGCCACAGAATAAAAGCACAGTGCATGTTAAAAATCCTGTATTGGCTGGCAAATAGCACTAGCACTTCCAGGAGAGAGCCATGTCCAATTATAGGGCTGGTCTACACTGGGAACTTACATCACCATACCTGGGGGTCTCAGAGGTGTGACAAGTCCATACCCTGGAGTGAAGTAGCTATGCTGACCTAACCCACATTGTAGACAGCAATAGCTTGACAGAAGAATTCTTCTGTAGACCTACCTTCCACTTCTCGGGGAGGTGGATTACTTATGTTATACCAATAAAATAAAAACCAGCAGGATCTTATTAAAGGGGAAAAGGCAAAATGCCACATTTACTGTGAATACAGAAATAATCATAGTAAGCAGTTAGTTATAGCTAGAACATTCCATTCAATTTCATATTTATTCACACATTTGTTCTCACTCACGTATGTTCTGCAAGGTTGTTACCATAGTTACCAGCCTTAGAGTTGCTCGTGCCAAGCCACTGGCCAGGGCGCCTGGACATGAGGAGGGAACAGGGCCTTGTCAGATGCACATCTGACGCTTCTGGAAGTTGGTTTGCAGAATCAGACCCCAAAGTTCTCACTTTCTAGAGTCTATTTTTATAGGAATTTATTCCTATGCCAGACTATGGGAATTACTTCATCATGCTGTTGCTGAATCAATCAGCAGATGGCACATTCCTGATGAACAACACGGAGCCTTCGGTTCTCCCATCTTTGAGGCTTTTGGGTGGATTCCGGTCTGCCCTCCCTAGGGGTCCTCTGGTTGTTTCCACTTGACGCGTTCTTTGGCCGATGGACACTGCATTCTTGGACTGGCACCTCCCTGATCATTCGGTTATTATCCACACCAAGCATCCATCCACATACATCCTCTATCTCTATTTTAATCACAATTGTTAACAAAGCGAGATAAATACAACAAAAGGGTGGGGAGTCTCTGTGTGCTGTTCCTGTTGTTACAATGTATTGCTTTGAGGACAGACTCTGTCTTAGGATGTACTAACGCAATTAGCAGCTTGCAGGTTTCACGCAGAGAGGGAGAGAAACAGTACCAAAACCCAAGAGACCTCTTAATTAGTAATACCCTGGAATTTAAACTATGGAATCAAACTCATTTGTGATTTTAATGCAGAACTTCTTTAATATGATCCAACACTTATGCCCACAGAAGAGCCCCTCACATCAGTGTAGGTAGTGTCTACACTGAAGCACTACAGGTTTACGTGTAGATATACCCATGCTCTGCTGTTGGGGAGGGTCACCGCAACATGGGGCTTCTGTGGGCAGGAAAGGGCTTCAACAGAGGTTTGGAGGATCGAATACAAATGAATTTTTTTTACTACCCAAGAGCCCAGAAGGAGCAGTGAGTCAACTAGATGAACTTACTTTTTGTGTGTCTAAATATAAGGCCTATTTACTGTCTCGATCTAGGTTTATGCAAGATCCCTGCTTTCTGCTGTGGCAGACTAGGAATTCTTTGGCAGCTTTATATGAATATTGAAATAGTATTTTTTATTTGTGTGTGTATAAAAATATAGAAATTACTGAATCAAAAGTTAAATTTTGTAATAGCAGCCCTTGTTTTTCATATTACATTGATTTTACTCTGCCCCTATACTTTCAGTTTTCAAGATGCTGCTGATTTTTATTTAGCATTGCACTGTAGAAATTGTTGAAGGGAAGCTTGGAGATTTTTGCAACTGGATAGGGGACAGCTTCTCACAGAGACATATTTTAGGCTTCCTGCAGATACAGGAATATAGTGCTACATCAGCTTGCAATCAGTTCTTGTATAGGAGGTTTTATTTAGAACCATGAGAGCCAGCTTTTATTTAAAAAAAAAACAAACAAAAAAAAAACAACTTAGATTCTAGAGCACAGTTTCCTGGCAAAGACCAGAATATATGGCCCCGGGTTGAGCATGCTCGGTGACTAACTTTCAAAATTTAATATTTAGCCACTGATATTTTTTCCCTGTTAAGAGTAAAACGTGTTTCCAACTACTGTTTTTGGAAAGTACAAAAATATATCTAAACATTACATATTAATAAATTACCAAGACCCTGGGTAAGATTTTATATTGGACTATTCATTCCTGAGTACAATTTTATACAGGAATTGCTGAGATACTACCTATGGCAGTATGTATTTACCTTTCTTCCTGCATATTGTAGAGGAGTCCTATGTTGGTGCATTGTGCTTTAATGCTGAAGGATCATGAGAATGATGCTACTTCAAGGTTTACACCAGCAGAGGGAGGGCTGAGAAAGATGACATTTTTGATTCCTTGCAGATAAACTTTGCATACAGAGAAAGTAAAAATAAACAACTTGTACTGGAAGCTTTATCAGCCAAGAGAGTCATGTAGCTTAGCATTAGTTTTACAATACATAGGAAAATATTTAGGTGATACCATATTAAGCTTATTCCTAATATATATGTTTCATAGATGGGCAGAGAAGTTAGATCAACTGACAGACACTGCTACAAAAGACCCAGAAGGATTCTTGGGGCATCCTGTAAATGCATTCAAGTTAATGAAACGACTTAACACCGAGTGGGGTGAACTGGAGAATCTGGTCCTGAAGGACATGTCAGATGGTAAGTTTGAGGAGATTTTGGAGTTATTGACACACAACTATTGCTCTGATTAACATTATCACCCTAATGCCAAGCAAAGCACAACTTTGTTTTTTGAGGAACATACTTTTTTTTGTACTGCACCTGCAGTAGAAATAACAATGGTCAAACACTTTTGCTGAGAGAATTATTTGACTTGTATCTTGCATGCATTGTCATTGAAATTGGATTTCTGTCATGTTTTCCATGACTTTGTGAGTCTCTCTGTAGAAGAAGACCCTGTTTTTTCTGTATGTAGGTACATGTAATGCACTTATCACCTTTTCAAATTGCTGATTGTGCTGGTAAAAAGTTGAACCAGCTCTGAGCTATACAGAAAGAGATCAAAAGCTCACCAATAAAACTTCAGTGACAAAGGGAGTAAATTCAGAGAGCTCGAACTCCTCAAAGTGGACTATTTGTGATGGTTCTTGGGGTGTCCAGGACTGAGTCACCTTGTTACCCCTCTGCCTCCAGCAAAAGGGAAACTTGCTTGTGTTTTAACTGGGTGTCAGCTCCCTGAAACAGCAGTCTGAGTGGCTAACGATCTCCTCAGGGCTTTGCCAGCCCTTACTTTGCCTTGCAAGTTAACAATAGGTGCACCCCAGTCCCCAAGACCTTTTGAAGCATTCCACTGTAGTATTTAACACCTTATCTGCTGAGCACTCCCAGTAATACCAAGTATGCCCCCCCAAAGCGAACCGTATACTTACCAGTTTACTCATAGACTTTAAGGGCTAGAAGGGGACCATCATGCTCATCTAGTCTCACCTCCTGCACATTGCAGGCCACAGAACCTAACCCACCCACTCCTGCACAAGGTCCATAGCCCCTTGCTGATTTAGTGAAGTCCTCAAATCTTGATTTAAAGAGTTCAAAGTTACAGAAAAATTCAGCATTTACTTTCGTTCAAACCAGCAGGCAACCAGTGCCCCATGCTGCAGTGGAAGGTGAAACCCCCCGCAGCATCTCTGCCAGTCTGAGTTGGGGGAAAAAGAGAGAGAGCAACCCCCTGTGGTTCAGTCTCCAGTGTCTTGTCTCCCTGTTGACTTAGTATGTGAATGGGGGGCCTCCGTTGTGTTAAGTTCACAACACTTAATTTACATTAATTTATACCCCTTTCACCATCCTAAAACAATTCTTCTCTCCCTCCAACATCCTAAAACAGAACATAGAAGAAAAAAATTAATTTGAAGGACTGATATTCAGACGTGTCCTCTAGTTTGAATCCGGGTTTTCATTCATGCAAAGTATTGTGAAAATTAGACTTAAACTTATTTAATACAGAGAAGAAAAGGAGTACTTGTGGCACCTTAGAGACTAACCAATTTATTTGAGCATGAGCTTTCGTGAGCTACAGCTCACTTCATCAGATGCATACCGTGGAAACTGCAGCAGACTTTATATATACACCGAGAATATGAAACAATACCTCCTCCCACCCCACTGTCCTGCTGGTAATAGCTTATCTAAAGTGATCAACAGGTGGGCCATTTCCAGCACAAATCCAGGTTTTCTCACCCTCCACCCCCCCACACAAATTCACTCTCCTGCTGGTGCTAGCCCATCCAAAGTGACAACTCTTTACATAATCAAGTCGGGCTATTTCCTGCATGGATGGGCTAGCACCAGCAGGAGAGTGAATTTGTGTGGGGGGGTGGAGGGTGAGAAAACCTGGATTTGTGCTGGAAATGGCCCACCTGTTGATCACTTTAGATAAGCTATTACCAGCAGGACAGTGGGGTGGGAGGAGGTATTGTTTCATATTCTCTGTGTATATATAAAGTCTGCTGCAGTTTCCACGGTATGCATCTGATGAAGTGAGCTGTAGCTCACGAAAGCTCATGCTCAAATAAATTGGTTAGTCTCTAAGGTGCCACAAGTACTCCTTTTCTTTTTGCGAATACAGACTAACACAGCTGTTCCTCTGAAACCTGTCTTAATACAGAGAAACTCTCCCACATTTTCCATATAAACTTCTACTAAAATAAGGCATCTTTCAACATACTTGCATGTGAAATTAGTGATTGTCTGTTCCCTATACATTTGCTGAAACAATATCTCAGATCCTGCCTCAAGGTTGATCCTGCATGGGTAGTAACAGTGATACAATTTTTTTTTTCCTCTATGCTACTTTATCTCAAATCATTACCATGATATTGCATAGGGATTCTTTTGGAAGAAGAGCCTTAAGACAACAGATAAAGAAACTATGTTAAAATTAATTATCCTTGTCTTTGAATTTGCTGTGTATTGGTTATTGATTTACTTACTTTTAAAAACATTTCAGCATGGTTGGTCTTGTGTGTGATGTTTGGTTCATTGGCCTGTTAGGACACTCATGAAATGACTATTGAATAATCAAGAGAGGTGCACTGTTAGCATATTACTGCTCCGTACAAATAGGTTTACACACTGTTTATCTAGAGTTCCACCCAAAGGTGGTAGCTTTTCCAAGAAGATCTGCCTCTGATTTAATAATAGCCTGCAGTGACATGCTAGTTTTCATCCAACAACTTGTATAGGGATATTTATTTGTAATTAAATGTGTTAATGTAAAACTCCCAGGACAAGAAAGCCCAGTCCTTTCCTTGATCTCTCTGACCTTTCTTTTTTTTTTCCGAAGGCTTTATCTCTAATATGACTATCCAACGCCAGTATTTTCCTAATGATGAAGATCAGGCTGGTGCAGCCAAAGCTCTCCTACGGCTCCAGGATACCTACAATTTGGATACAGACACCCTCTCCAGGGGGAATCTTCCGGGTAAGAAGCACCTGAGCTAGTTTGGAAAAATAGCGGTGCAGTTACAGAATATCTAGATTATAAACCCTTTTGAGGAGTCTTTTCTTCATGCCTGTCTATAAAGCGCCTAGCATGCTGTTAACAATAGGAAAAAACCCAGACTTTCCTAGTCTTCAGCCAGTCTCTGATAACCTGGCCCACAGCACACAAGCTTATGTAAACTGAACTGCTGCAGGGAGTTGTAAGTCGCATCTCCCGGTGTCAGCCTGTACCGTAGAGAACACTCTACTCAAGGCAGGATGAGCACTGGTACCATAGCACTTCCTTGGGATTTTCCGATGGGGATTTTTCCGTACTGAAATGCTATGTGCCCCACCCACACTCCTTCCCAGGCTCACTTTTTGGGTGTGTTGGTCTTTTCTTCAGTTCTTTGGTGGTGAGTATGTTGCAGCTGTTTTTCTTCATCACTTTCTCTTCCTCTGATGGGCTTTCTGCTGCCAGGACCTTGTGCTTGGGTTTAGAATGGCAAAAATTGGCATTAAACTCCAACTGTATCTAGCCCTCTCTGTGTAAGTCAATGTTAGTATGTAGGAGGAATAAACATCTGGTAGTTTTATTTGTCATATTTTTGGCTTCTTACGGAGCTATTGCCTCTGATCAAGCAAAGCTGCACTCTGTCTCTCCTAGAGCAAGATTAGTTGCTCAATATTTAAAGTTGCAATTGAGTTTCCATTTATAAGTCCACTGCATAGCTCCTCTCTAAAATACCACAGAATTAGCACACTTGGCTGGATAAATATTCCTATTATGTTAATGCAAGCCTTTAACCTATGGCTTGTATATAAAACTGAGTTCAGTAGGTAAACAAATCACTGCACTAATCACTGATGGTTAAAATGTGCCAATTTTGGTTAAAATATACCTATTCTGTACATTTATTGTTAGAGTATTTCATGCTGTTATGTTAAAGAAAAATATTAAACAGGAATGAGATATTGATTAAGAGTAAATATTGTAATCGGCAAGCTGTATTTTAAAAGTCTGTATCTGAATGTGTGCAGTGGAAAGCATGTTAGTAAAAAAGAATGCTATTATATAGTTTGTTCATATTATATTATATATGTTTATTCACGTCCATTCCACATTAGGTGTGCACACGCTGCATGCACGAATGTTGGAAACTTTTTCCCTTAGCGTTTCCCGGCGGGCCCCCCCGAGTGGTGCCACTGTGCTGTGCATATATACCCCTACCGGTTTGACCCCTCGAGTTCCTTCTCACCATCTGTGGTGGCGTTGGAACACCTCTTCCCCTCCCCCTCCCCCTCTTCCCCCCAGTAGTCCCTTAGCCTTTAGGGTAGCTGTTATCAGTTTGTTTACATACAGATTGTGGACACTTAAGTCATTAGGTGCTTGGAGGCCTCCAGCACCTGCTCCAGGGCTTCAAGGCTTGCACCACGTGCTGCAAACCTATGCCAGTTAGTGACCCCCCACGACTCATGTCTAAGTTGCCTGGGGGATGGACATCAAACTGAAAGGTGTAGGATTTGCAAGGCATTTAAGCCAAGGACAAGGAAAGAAAGAGACTGTATGGGAAGAACCCTCTGACGCCCATGCCTCGGGTGCCGATGAGGGGTAAGCTGGCAACGGTGTGCCACTCGAGGACACGCTCCTGGAGTTGGTCTGGGTCGAGCTCCGACTCTGCAGACTCGCACTTGCCAGGGGCGCAGAAGGAGGTTGCAGCACCGGCAGCGGGTCAAAGCGAAGAAGCACCAGAAAGGGCACGCAGCTCTCCGGCACTGCCCAGAGACCAGCACCGGGAGGAGCTGAGATGGCCCTTGCCAGAGGTCTCCCGCAGACAGTCCCAGTCCAGGGAATGCCAGTCCCAGTCCAGATCCTGGTCCCGGTACCGCTCCTGGTCCCGCTCAACCAGGAGGTGCTCGTTCTCCCGCTGGCGCAGATTGTTGGCACTGCCATGGCCTTCGCGATCGGCGTCGCCACAGTCCGGCGCTGGCTTCGGCCGCTATAGCTACCCGCACCGGGGCCCAGAAAGCAGGGACCCTCAGGGGAGCTGGCAACATGAATGGGGGCCACCAGGCCATTGGCCCTTCTGGACCCCTTTGGCCTATCAGGAGCACCAAGGGGCCCCGTCCAGGGCACGTTACTTGGTGCAGAGATCCCAGTCCCTGCACCGACGCCAGAGGTGCCAGAGGCAACAGTATCCTGGCCTCCAGCATTCCCCCCCAAGCATAGACCGGAGAGTCCGGCACCAAGTCCAGTGCCATCCCATGGACCCCCACCCTGGCCTGAGCCAGAGGCCCTTACCACAGGAGATGGGGAGCAGGAGGACCAACCAGAGGGGTTTGAGCAGCAGCTAACCTCCTCATCTTCCCCCGATGAGGCGGTGGAGGGTACAGAGGTGTCTGGCCCTCTGCCGATAGACCATAGAGCCCACCAGGAACTGCTGCACAGAGTTTCCCAAATTTTGGGGTTGCAGGCTGAGGAGACGGTTGAGCAGGAAGACCCCATGGTGGACATTTTGAGCCCCAAAGGTCCATCCAGAATAGCACTCCTGCTCATTAAGACCATTCAGTCTAACTGTAAGACTATATGGCAGACCCCGTCCTCCAGCACTCCAACGGCTAAAGGAGTAGAGCATAAATACTTTGCCCCATCTAAGGGCTGTGAGTTCCTGTTCTGCCACCCAAGTCCATGCTCCCTAGTGGTTTCGGTGGTGAATGAAAGGGAGCACCATGGTCAGCAGGCCCCGGCCCCTAAGGCCAAGGAGGCGAAACGCCTGGACCTTTTTGGTAGAAAGGTGTACTCATTTGGGGGCCTTCAGTTGAGGATTGCTAACCAGCAGGCCATCCTCAACAGGCACAATTTCAGCTCCTGGGCAGTGGTGGGGAAGTTTAAGGACTACCTCCCGCAAGGTTCCCAACAGGAGTTCACAGCCCTGGTGGACGAGGGCAAGGCAGTAGCCAAGACCTCTCTCCAGGCCTCCCTGGATTCGGCAGACGCGGTGGCTAGAACTATTGCATCAGGGGTGGTCATGAGGCGCTCAGTGTGGCTCCAGGAGTCAGGCCTGCCGCCCGAGATCCAGAATACACTCCAGAACCTCCCCTTTGAAGGGTCTGGGGGCTCTTCTCGGACCAGACGGATGCAAGGCTGCATAGCCTCAAGGACTCGTGAGCTACGCTCAAGTCGCTGGGTATGCACACCCTGGCGACCCAGAAGAAGCCCTTTAAGCCGCAGCCTTCCCCTCAATGCCAGTACCAGCCTCGCCGTAGGCATGAGCCTTACCATAGGCGAGGCAGGGATAACAGGCGATGGCGCAATAACAATAATGCACCAGGCCAGAACCAAGGCCAGCACAAACCCCAGCCAGGCACTAAGTCAGGCTTTTGAAGGTGTGCTCGAGGACACCTAGAGGAGGAAGTCCGCTCGCTGCTAGAGGTGGGGGCAGTAGAGGCGGTGCCTCACAGCCTAAGGGGAAAAGGGTTCTACTCCCTGTACTTCCTCATCCCCAAGGCCAAAGGGGGCCTTCGTCCATCCTAGACCAGCGCGGGCTCAACAAATTCCTGGTCAAGGCCCGGTTCTGCATGGTTTCTCTGGGCACCATCATCCCTTCCCTGGATCCGGGGGACTGGTACGCTGCCTTCAACATGAAGGACGCATACTTTCATATCGCCATCTTCCCACCACATCGGTGGTTCCTACGCTTCACCAGGGACCAAGAACATTACCAGTTTGTGGTTCTCCCATTCGGTCTAGCCGCGGCTCCAAGGGTGTTCATGAAGTGCATGGCAGTGGTGGCGGCCTTCTTACGGAGGCAGAGAATCCGGGTGTACCTGCACCTCGACGACTGGCTCCTGGCGGGCTGATCCGAGGTGGAGGTGCAGGGCCATGTGGAGGTGGCCCTGAGATTGTTCCGTGAACTGGGGCTCCTGGTCAACATCCCCAAGTCCACGCTCGTACCCACGCAGAGAGTAGAATTCATAGGGGCGGTCCTGGACGCGGTGGAGGCCAGGGCAAGCCTTCCAGTATCCCAATTCCAGGCTATTCAACAAGTAGTGGCCTCCCTGCGCCAGTTTCCAACAACAATGGCCAGGTGCTGCCTGCAGCTGCTGGGCCACATGGCAGCATGCACGCATGTGGTCAGGCATGCCAGACTGAGACTCAGGACTCTAGAGGCTTGGCTTGCTCGGGTGTACTGCCCAGGCAGGGACCCCCCTGGACTTGGTAGTGACAGCCCCAAGGGATGTGCTGGACCCCCTGCTGTGGTGGCAGTTCCAGCCTGTGGTTTGCAAAGGCATCCCCTTTGCCGCCCCACTTCTGGACCTGATGCTGGTGACGGATGCGTCAGACCACAGATGGGGGGCTCACCTGGGGGACCTCATGATGCAGGGGTTGCGGTCTGAAGCAGAGCGGTCGCGCCATATCAACGTGAAGGAGCTCAAGGCGGTTTGTCTCGCCTGCCAGACCTTTCATGCCACTCTGAGTGGTCACAGCGTGACAATTCTGACAGAAGACACTGCCATGTTGTATATTTACAAGCAAGGCGGGGCTTGTTCCTTGCCACTCTGTCGTGAGGCTCTCCACCTCTGGGACCTTTGCATAGCCCATGCAATTCACCTCGAGGCATCCTATCTCCCAGGGGTGTGGAACGAGCTGGCTGACTTCCTCAGCAGGTCATACTGCGTGCATGAGTGGACGCTCAGGGTGGACGTCGTGCTTTCGCCCTTCCGCAGATAGGGGTTTCCCCGGGTAGATCTGTTTGCCACCAGGGCCAAGGCTCAGTGCCCGTGGTTCTGCTCGTTCCAGGGCCGCAGCCCAGGCTCACTCGTGGACGTGTATGCAATCCCGTGGAGAGGGGGTTTGATGTATGTCTTTCCCCCCGCTCCCCTTGGTGCACAAGGTCCTGCTCAAGGTGCGCAGGGACAGGGCGGCGGTGATCCTCATCGCCCCAGCCTGGGCCCACCAACACTGGTACAAGTCGCTCCTAGAGCTGTCGGTGGAGGCCCCAGTAGGCCTGCCCCTACACCGGGACCTCATTTCACAGGACGGTGGGTGGCTTCTCCACCCCGACCTGCAGTCACTGCACCTGACGGCGTGGAGGCTCTGTGGCTAAATGCCCTGGAGAGCCAGGGCTCCCTTCCTGTGCTGCAGGTTCTGCTTAGCAGTAGAAAGCCTTCTACCAGGGTGGCCTATATGGCCAAGTGGAAAGAGTTCTCATTTTGGTGTGAACCCTGACAGGTGCGGCTGGGTCAGGCCCTGGTGCAGGCCATTCTGGAGTACCTCCTGCACCTCAAGCACCCCGTCCTCACTCAGAGTGCACCTGGCGGCCATCTCTGCCTTCCATCTGGAGTTTCTCGGAGGGGGGGGCTCGGTGTTTTCCCACGCAATGGTGGGATGGTTCCTTAAGGGGTTGGAGAGTGTGTTCCTGTACTCCTGCCCCCCCAGTCCCTCCATGGAACCTTAATCTGGTCCTTTCTAAGCTCATGAGACCCCCTTTTGAGCCCCTCACTACCTGTTCTCTCCGCCACCTTTCCTGGAAGGTGGCGTTTCTGGTTGCTGTTACCTCGGCCAGAAGGGTGTCCAAACTGAGGGCCCTCACCTCTGAGCCACCATCCACAGTATTTCACAAGGACAAGGTGCAACTCTGGCCGCACCCGAAGTTCCTCTCTAAGGTGGTCTCCCAATTCCATCTGGGCCAGGACATTTGTCTGCCAGTGTTCTTCCCAAAACCCCATATGGACCTAAGTCACCGCAGCTTGCACACCCTGGGTGTGCATCGAGCGCTGGCGTTCTATTTTACACCAAGTCCTTGCACAAATCTGCACAGCTGTTTGTGGCTATAGTCGAGAAGATAAAAGGCCTCCCAGTGTCAGTGCGGCGGATTTCATCTTGGATTACAAACTGCATCCGGGCATGCTATGAGCTCGCAGGTGTTCCGGCCCCAACGGTCATGGCCCACTGGACCAGGGCGCAGACGACTTCCACGGCTTTCCTGGCACAGGTCCCGATCCAGGAGATCTGCAGAGCAGCCACCTGATCCTCAGTGCACACCTTCACGACCCACTATGCGGTCAACCAGCAGGATAGAGAGGACGCTGCAGTTGGCAGAGCGGTCTTCCGTGCAGTTGTTCCGTGACTCCTACCCTCCTCCAGAGGTAAGCTTGTAATTCACCTAATGTGGAATGGACGTGAATAAGCACTCGAGGAAGAAAAAACTGTTACTTACTTTCTTGTAACTGTTGTTCTTCGAGATGTGTTGTTCACGTCCATTCCACCACCCACCCTCCTACCCCTCTGTCGGAGTCGCCGGCAAGAAGGAACTGGAGGGGGTCGGGCCGACGGGTATAAATGCACGGCACAGTGGCGCCACTCGGGGGGCCCACCAGAAGCCGCTAAGGGAAAAAGTTTTGAATGCTCGTGCACGCATCGTGCGCACACCTAATATGGAATGGACGAAGAACAACAGTTACGAGAAAGCAACTAACCGGTTTTTTTTGTTTTCTGGTTTTGTTAATCTTAAACTTGACTATTCTTTCAAGATTTGACTTCGTTTAAAACCCCCCCACAGATTTTTATCATTTGTTGTCTTCTATAAGAAATTAAGTGAATTTATGGACCATATTCTACTATCTTTCTTGGAAGCAAGCCTGTGCAGCCCAAACTGTGTGCTGCCTGCTAGTATAATTCTGCTTTTGAATAGTATTGTGATAAAATTGCATCAGAGAACCCATCATAATTGCTGATAAGTTACATTTTCATTCTAGAAGTAAAATTCTCTAGTTTTCTTGGCCTCCAGGGCTAATGGAATTCTAAATCTCTAGTATTTTATCGGTTTTGGTCACCATTTGTCTTCTGTATGATTTTTCAGTCACTTAATGTGTCCAGTTTTCCCCCACAATCTCTCCACTTTCTCCAATTCAGTTGAGCATTGCTGCTACTTTCCCTAATTCTTCTGCTTTTCGATCTTCTGCATTTCAGATCTTGCTGTTTTTTAAACTGATATTGTACTAAGCAGTTGCCCTGGCTATTTCTGTAGCAAAATGAACAATTACTGTAGAATTTCCCTGACAAATAAATCTGTTTAGTTATCAGTGCTAGTGATGTGATGAGTGTGGACCCTGTGCTCAGCACTTTGTTTATATTAGGGCTCCTTAAATTTAGTTCATCTGTGGATGTTCAGTTTCCTGAGCATCTACATCAGACCTGCAAGCAACTAACGTTATGGGAGAGGAGGCCCGAGGCTGTGCCCTTTTGAAACAGAATCCCAAGAGGGTAGGCTCCCAACAACCTTCCTCTGCTACCTCTTTTTGCACTGTAGACATACCAAAAAAACCCCATTTGTGGCTGGTCCAGGTCAGCTGACTCAAGCTTTCCGGGGCTGGGCTGTGGAGCTATAAAATTGCAGACTAGGTATTTGGCGTCAGGCTGGAGCCCAGGCTGAGACCCACGAGGAGGGAGGGTCCCAGAGCCCAGGCTCCAGCCTGAGACTGAACTGCTATGTTAGAGCCCCATGAGTTAGCTGACCCAGGCCAGCCACACATGTTCTATTGCAGTGTAGATGTACTCTAAGAGGTTGAAGGTGGTTTAACTTCTCTGGGACAGTTGGTATGAAATCTCAAGACAGTCTAAAACTCAAGAGTTTAATTAAAAACAAATCTTAAGAAGAAGAGAAGATCCGATTTAAACAAAAGAAATTGAATGCGCAACCTATTTAGTCTGAAATCCTGAAAAAGCTCATCTCTGGTTTAATTACAGTGAATAGAAAAATGATATTGCACTGTTAGAGAACTCCTTTTTCCATTCTCATCCTTTTGGCAGGTTAGTCTCTCAGGGCTGGTCTTTCCCAGAAAATTTCATTGTTAGAACGCAACCTTGAGAAGTTGCAGGGCAGAGGTCAGATTCTGCAGAATAGAAAACAATGAAATCCATAATTTATGTCCATGATTTCTTTAACTTCAGGTGTAAACGAAAAGCAGTTAAGCTGATACAATGTCATGGACAATGAAGGATACTGCATTTTTCTGTAGAGTTTTTTTTTTCACTCCACCCTGTATTTCCAAATATTTGCCATTCCCTTTTTACAAGACAGAATTTGATTCTTCAATGGGCCCTGAATTACAGTGGCAAAAATAGAAACCTGTAATTTACTTATGAAGACTTCAAATTAAACTTTCAAATAGAGGCCATTTTAGACTCTGCTTCTAAACATGAGTTACTTCAAAACCTTTGCCAGTTGTGCAGTTACTGATTATCATAGTTGATGCTTTTTTCCCTCCCTCATTCTAATCATCTTGCCAGTTGCTAATAAGATGTCCCAGACAAGCTTTTGAAAGAAATAAAATGTATATGGAAAGTGCCTAACCCAAGATCTAGGGCCAGTGCTTGAACAATTCTTAAAACTACTGCTGGTAGAAAAGAGAATTTAAGTTGATTTAGGTCAATATTGTTTCTGCATAATGTGCTTTTCAGTCACAAAAACCTTTGTAGAATTCGCAGCAACTAGTCAATGAAAAACTTTGTGCTCTAGGGATTTAACTTCTGAGGATTCAACAATATCGCCACTAACAAAGGTAAGTACATTCTAAACTCTGGGAGCCAGCACTAAACAGAATTTAATTTGTTCAGTGGGGAGTGAGAAAATGTGTGACAACTGAACACAGGTGTGCTATTCAAAATATTATGATTCCAAATCCTACATACCTTGTCTGTCTGTTGCTTTCTATAGGTGTAAAGCACAAGTCTTTTTTAACAGCTGAAGATTGCTTTGAATTGGGCAAGATTGCATACACTGAGGCAGACTACTATCATACTGAGCTGTGGATGGAGCAAGCTCTGAAACAGCTTGATGATGGAGAGGTGTCTACTGTTGACAGAGTCTCCATTCTAGATTATTTGAGTTATGCTGTGTATCAGCAGGGGGACCTGGACAAAGCAATGATGCTCACCAAGCGACTTCTTGAACTGGGTATGTTGTTAAGAGACTAGATCCACAATATATTGTAAAACTGGTCGGGAAATTCTGTGATGTAGCAGTTTTCATAATATGGTCTGTAGATTACTTTTGTTTCAGAGTAATTGTGGGTAGCTGCTTCTGTCATACAGGTGAACGTCTGCCAAAATAAAATGGGTGAGGAATCATAGACTTTAAGTTCAGAAGGGACCATTATGATCGTCTAGTCTGACCTCCTGCACAACGCAGGCCACAGAACCTCACTCACCCACTCCTGTAACAAACCCCTATCCTATGTCTGAACTATTGAAGTCCTCAAATTGTGGCTTAAAGACTTCAAGGTGCAGAGAATCCTCTAGCAAGTGACCCGTGCCCCACACTGCAGAGGAAGGCGAACAACCCCCAGGGCCTCTGCCAATCTGACCTGGAGAAAAATTCCTTCCCGACCCCAAATATGGCGATCAGCCAAACCCTGAGCATGTGGGCAAGACTCATCAGCCAGACACCCAGGAAAGAATTCTCTGTAGTAACTCAGATCCTACCCCATCTAACATCCCATCACAGGCCATTGGGCATATTTACTGCTAATAGTCAAAGATCAGTTAAATGCCAAAATTAGGCCATCCCATCATACCATCCCCTCCATAAACTTATCAAGCTTAGTCTTGAAGCCAGATATGTCTTTTGCCCCCACTGCTCCCCTTGGAAGGCTGTTCCAGAACTTCACTCCTCTGATGGTTAGAAACCTTTGTCTAATTTCAAGTCTAAACTTCCTGATGGCCAGTTTATATCCATTTGTTCTTGTGTCCACATTGGTACTGAGCTTAAATAATTCCTCTCCCTCCTTGGTATTTATCCCTCTGATACATTTATAGAGAGCAATCCTGTCTCCCCTCAGCCTTCTTTTGGTTAGGCTAAACAAGCCAAGCTCTTTGAGTCTCCTTTCATAAGACAGGAAGGTATCCAATCCAGCAGTTACACCCATTGTATTAAAAGATGATGCAAATAATCTTCCCTAATATTACTTTTTCAAATAAGAATAGCTGCTGCAAGGATGTTATGGGATCAGCACTGGGAGTTTGGCAAGGGAGGAGGGCCACAAAAGTATGCCTGCCTTAAGAAATGATCTGTAACATGAAGCTGACTACTTGAGGTACATCTGAATTCATTTTTGGATGGGAGTTTGCATTTGAGGGAATGGTTGTTTCGGTTTTGGCCTAAATTTTACTCCTTGCATACATTTGTTTCCAAGAAGGGTAAATGGAAAATTAAAAAATCCATCCTTAAAGAAAGGAAGAGACAAATACTTCTTGTAGAATTGGGCAGTTCCTGCCATGTTATAAGTTCTTTTGGCATGGAGTCTCTTCCTGTGTGATTTATACAGTGACTTGCACAGTGGAGGGTTGCCAGCTGTCCAGTTTTCAACTGAACACCTGGTCGAAAAGGGACCCTCTCCAGCCCAGTGAAAATGAGCGAGTGAGTGAAGATGAGGGAGAGCAAGGGAGGGAGTGGCAGGACCTCGGAGAAGGGGTGGGGCAAGGGTGTTCGGTTTTGTTTGGTGAGAAAGTTGGCAACCCTAGGGGGCCCTGATTGTCGTTGAAGCATTTGGGTGCTACTTTTAATACAAATGATGATTGATATAGAAAAATATGCAAGTAACTTTGACTAAAACTCTTTTTACAGGGATTATAAATTTGGCCTCAAACATGCTGTATGCTTAAACTTGACATTCAAAATCACAGTGTATTTTTATAAATTGATTTATAATCCATTTTGGCTTTGCATAGCTACAAAATTGTATCTGGTTTAAAACTTGATTATGGTGTTAGTTTCATAGCAATGTTGCATCAAATTAATATGTTTAATAACCAAGATATGTCAGTGACTGCATGTTTAATCATTTAGAAGTTCAGTTCTGTTCTAATGTACTATGTAAAAATAGCAGCTTGCTCAGCACTTGCTCTTGTGTATATCCTTTCTCTCTAGGCACTCACATAGCTCTCATCGCCACAGTATCTGAACACCATGTAGAGTCAACGCTTCTTTATTTTCTAAATTGTCTAAAATTTGTTTTACTGTCTTTTCATTCTTCTTTGCTATACAATCAGTATAGCTTCCCTCTCCTAAAGATGAATTCTGTTCTTCTGTGTACATAAACACAGTTGTTTATACTGAGTTCAGAATGCAGGATCTCTCTTGTTAATTGTACATGAGGCTGGAAAAACCCATATTGAGTCTGCAGAGCTGGCCCATGAAAACTATCTTTTAAATTGCGGACTGAGCAGTTTTGATTTGGAATAATTGAAAGACAACAAATATAGAATCCAGTAATGGCTTGCCTAGTGATATTTAAACACAATGGCATAGTATATCTAAGCATTTGTCATTTTCATCACTGTGTGGTATCTGAGTGCCTGAAGGAGGATGTTCTAATCTTAATTCTGAATTAATCCTTTCACAGCAGTAAAACCCCTTCATCAGTAAATGGAGGAATGAGCTGGCATAGTTTGTTAAACTAGCACTTTTTTCTACCAAATTTTGTCAGCTGTCAGTATTCCTGGCCCAACTCTCTCCCTGTTGAGTTTCCTGATGGGACAATGCAGTCTATTTCACACACAATATCCTCATTTCTCTGTCTCCCTTTATAGTCTTGCAGGCTGTCTCCCCCATGGAATAGTTTAAAGTTTATTCTATCTCTTAACTGTTGCTGGGTAGTACTGCTTCCAGTGGAGGTGTCAGTTTCTTGGATTTAGAGGGTTTAAGCTAAGGTTTTCCTTGCCCATTCTCTGCTTCCCTGTACAATGAGCAATGAGAACACAGAAATGTATTACATCCCCGCCTGTCACCTATTGAATGGGTCAGGCTTTCAGCTATATTTTTGTTCTGATTTAACTGTAAGCATGTTGGATCACTAAGCATTAATTTTTACAACTTCTGTTCCAGAATGAAGAGTGTTTTTCTTTTCAAGGAGATGCTCTTATATACCCTTTCAGGTTGACTTCTACCAGTTGCAAACTTATCTGTGGTGCCTCTCCTTTCTTCTCCATTAGATCCTGAACATCAGAGAGCAAATGGTAACTTAAAATACTTTGAATATATCATGTCTAAAGAAAAAGAAGCAAATAAGTCTACTACCAAAACAGATAGCCAGACTGACAAGGAAACAAAGAAAAAGGAACCAAGCAAAGATTACCTGCCAGAGAGACAGAAGTATGAAATGCTGTGCCGTGGGGAGGGTCTCAGAATGGTAAAGTGGAATAGCCTGTTTGTTTTTGTTTTTTGTTTAATCTACAAAACCAGTTATGCAGGACTCATTTAGACATGTCAGCAAGTTCTGGTGCTAAAGAGAAAGGTCAGTCAGCTTGCAGGGATGAGCTGGCTCACCTTTAGAACACTGTTTTCCCTCTTACTCCTGTCTTTATGGTGGCCTGCGTTCAAAGTATTTTTGATGAACGTTTGCAAGAAGTTTTGTATCGAGCTTGAACATAAGGAAATCATTTTAGCAATAGGTTTCAGAGTAGCAGCCGTGTTAGTGTGTATCCGCAAAAAGAGAGAGAGAGTACTTGTGGCACGTTAGAGACTAACAAATTTATTTGAGCACAAGCTTTCGTGAGCTAGGGCAGAGCTGTAGCTCACGAAAGCTTATGCTCAAATAAATTTGTTAATCTCTAAGGTGCCACAAGTACTCCTTTTCTTATTGTAGCAATAGAATGACTATAGACCTATAGTGGAGGGAATGAAGAGGGACAATGCAGCATCTCTGAATGAAGAAATAGTAACCCATGTTTGAGGATGCTGCCCCCTAACCCTAATGTATTTTAATACCAGTTAGTGCACTGAGAATCAAATAAGGTTATTGCATTACAACAAAGATTGTATTACACACATTGTATTACACACAGCATTGAACATTGTTCATCTTAAGACTAACTGTAAAGTTAATGTTTGCTCTAAGATGTGTCTCATATTAAACTTGCTGAGAGCATGGTTTCTCAAACAATGTGCTTGACCTCCCTAAGGAGACTACAGTCTCCTCAATTGGTAAAATACAAGTAGACATAGGGAAAATGAATTACTGTGTTTTGTTCTTCTCAGAATGAAGGAAAGGCTGATGCCAATCACAGCAGTGAATGAATAGTTTCTAAGTGCCTATGAATTCATTCATCTAGGTTTTCCAAAAAGTGATGGACTCTTTCAATCCAGTGTCTAAATACTGCTCAGCTGATGCTGTTTAGGAGCTAGAAGATAGACTTCTTCCTTCCTGAATTTGTTGTAATCATATGCAAAATTTCTCTTCATTGACTTACTATTTAACTTATTAATTATAAATTAATTGTTTTGTTATATTTAATTTGTTTGCTGAAGGACCACCCCTCACCCCCTTAAGGATATGTCTACACAGCATAGTCTACCGCGGATCTTTCCCAGGTTTTAGCCTTAGCCCCCCTACTATCCACACTGGGTTTGTAGGTGTTTTAAGCCCAGGTTTGTTTATCCCAGCTAGGAGTGTGGGTTAGAACCTGGGCTCCACTTTAAGTTGGGCCGGAGCCCACCCACTTTGCAGTGAGGATACAGGCTAAACCATTCAAGTTCTGATAGTCCTCTAATGCCCTTTCCACAATTCCCCCTAAAAGATTGTTCTCCTACAATTGACTGGAAAAGAATCCTAGATCATCTCACCACAAAGAACAATGAGATATTCCCCCCCAGACACACATGGGTGAATGGAGAAAGTCATAACACAGTGCTATGGGTAGGGCTTGGCAGAGGGGACATTCACACCTGGGCAAAGCTAACTTGGATGCTCAGACCTGGGTGAAGGGTACAGACATAGCCATAGTGTTATGTGCTTGCCATATGAATATGTGTAAGAACACCAACAGAGAAAGTGGTCAGGTTTATAGATGGAATATGACAGGTCAACAAGTTCCATGGTGTGAATATACGATATATACCTACGCTAGTTGTGTCACATTAGATGCATTTCTGTCATAATGTGTAATTTTTTATATTTAAAAAAAGAAATGCGTGTGTCCTGTAATGGTGTTAATGTGAGCAAGCACTTGATTCCTTTTTGTGTTTGTTCTGCCTTGATTTCAGACACCTCGGAGACAGAAGAAACTCTTCTGCCGCTATTACAATGGAAACCAGAATCCCAAGTATGTTCTGGGACCTGTCAAACAGGAGGATGAATGGGACAAACCTCGGATTGTTCGCTTCCTTGAAATTATTTCTGATGAAGAAATTGAAACTGTGAAAGAACTAGCAAAGCCAAGGGTAAAGAGCTTCAGATTCCTCTTGTTTTGGAAACTTCCATGCCATCTATAGTGTTCTATGTGCATGAACTCAATTCACCTCTTGAATTAGGAGTTTGTAAAGTTAGCTTGGGCGAATGGTGTTATGCACACACACGCATGCACACACGCACACAGAGTAATGTTTTCTCTGCATGGCTTATGCAGATTCACCAAACTGTTCTGCTGGATAAGATTTTTGTGGATGCTATTATGGAGGAGAAGAGAACCTCCTTGAACTCCACAATAGTCCCAGCATGAAACTTCCCCCTATTGCAACTGGCCTGCCTCAGTATGCTGCCACCGCTACCACCACTCTTAATTTATGTTGAATACTCGTCACAGTCACTATGGCGTATAAATGACAGTTATTTGTATGGAGATGCCATTTAGGAGCCGCCATATCTGTGATCATGGACACCAGATAATCCGAATTTACCATATGGACATCTACAAAATAGTAGTACTCTTCTTTAGTCATCTGAAACAGACTCAGGGGCATGAGGTGCTCTGGGGCAGTTACGTAAGTCCTTCTCAGCAAATCTCACCCTAGCTTCATTTAACTTCAAACTAAAAGAGGTGTAATAGTTTGGACCTAACATAACCTTCATTCTCCCACTTCATCACCTCAACTCTCCAATCCCATTTCAAGAACCAGATTCCAAAGGACCAGTCTCTGAATCTGAAATAACCTAAGACTGGCTTATTGTCAAGGCAGCCATGAGAGCCCAGGTCAAACAAAAAAGCTATTTTGCTGGAAGTCACCCAGGACAATATGATTGGCAGCTGCAATACCAGGACAGATTAAATCTGTTAAGAAACTTGTGGTGTACCAATGTAGTAAATATAACACAACTTGTCTCAGTTTAACTCTATCTCAAGACTTGCACTTGAGGTGAAGCTATTCTAATTAATCCATGTTTGTACAGGTCACCAACTACTTCTGAAATCAGATGCAAACAATATAAGTGCATCATTTCTCCAGCACTACTTCTGTTTATGCTAAACAGATACTTATTGGGAAAGAGCTGAGCGAATGAAGGATAAACACTGTGTGGATAGGTACATCTGAATTACCTAAGAGAAATTATCCAACCATTTCTTCTTTATTCAAGCAAATCAAAGGCCTTATCCATAATCAAGTCAAGAATGGTGCTGCCTTTGTTAGCCACCAACTTGAGTACTGAAGAGCATCAAGTGAAGAGTAGGCTCACTATCACCTGACATTCTTTGTTCTTGAGGTAACACCCCAGACTAAACCAGTGGATCTGATTTCAAGTGCTGTGCTCCTTCCCTACACCTAAAACATCTCTTCTTGCCTATGCTTCCCATGTCGATCACATCAGGAATCAGAGCCCAGTTTGTGTGCTAATTCCTATTTTGTTGTGTTACAATGGAAAATGATACAACTGATGATTGGGCTGCATTGTTGCTGTAGGAAACACTGGTGTTGCCTCTTTGGAGTGTAACTAAAGCTGTTCTTTATGGAGTGAAAAGAAAACCTTTCTGTTATAAGGATGACTGAAAACGATACACAGATGATAGTGGATTTAAACTAAACTTTCTGGGACCATTGTTTTCTAGTCCGATAAATGTTCAGCCTGTTACAAAGCTGTGCCAATTTTGGGTACTAATATCTTGCGTTGAAAAATGTGGAACATTCAAACTTAAAGCCTAGACATTGCAGAGTTCAGTGGTTGATGCTGCATGAGACTATGTTTTGAGGTTGAAAGTTCATCTCTTGTATTCCAGCTATTGGGAGTGTCACAGAAGTCTTAGAGTTTAGAAGTGAAAGGGTGTGTAATCACTACCCAGTCTTCTGCTCCTTTGTCATCAGCTGGCATGAGAAAAGCTTAATTCAGTCTTTCGAGACTGTCTGTCTGCTTTTGAGTAGTAAGCTGTGTGCAATGATCCAGCTACTCACCCCATTTTGTCCCATGGGTAAAGAACAGTGCAGATTAAGGGATTCCCTGATTCTTTGTTTAGATCAATAAGGTCTGAGATGCTTTGAGCCTTTATTGCAAAATAAAAACTAGCAGTAAAACACTTGCCCAGATTATGACACACAGTACTCAATAAACCCTCCTTGGCCTGGAGTCACCATAATGCAGTCTGTCAATGACCTTCTAGTGCTTCTAATGCTGGAGCATTGCAACTGAAACTTTCCCAATTATGGGTCACTGTACAGTAGCTGAATGTGCAGTAGCAACATGCAGTTTGCTTGTGGTGTTGCCATGACTCCGTATGACAGAAACAGATTTTGTGGAAATGGAGCAGAACAGGACACTGACTAAAATGGGATGGAAGCAAATTACTTGACAATGGTGCAGTGTGTTGGCTGGAGAAGAGAGGCCCTAGAACAGTCTTGGTCCAAAGTCTTATTTCTGGATGATCAAAAACGTGGGAAGTATTTCACATGATTTGTGATCATGGTGTAGCTGACGGGTCTGCATTCTGGAACAGAGAATGCAAAACACAGATCAATTATTCAACCAACTAATGCAGATAATAAGTTAGAGATATTTTTCAGATTCTGAGGTAAGGTTTCCTTCATGTCCCTCCCACCCCCACGGTTAAAACTTTTACTCAGTGTGTTCCTTATTGATGATTTAACTCTAAAGTGCATCCTGGATGTACCGTATATCATTAACAAAGCAAGAGTTGTACATCCTTGACATACATGCTGTATAACTTCCAGCAATTGAAAGGAGTTGAAAGATGTTACAGGAAATAGCTTTACTTATCTAACCAGCTCGCTCTTGTTGCTCCCCAGAAACTGGAGTATTGCTTCTAGGAAAAAAGGTACCACTCATTCGCTCCCTCTTCTCTAAGAAGGAACTGAAGTATCTCCTTTTTATTCGTGTTAGAGGTTTCCCCACCTTCGCCACCACACACATACTCTTTCTGCTATAAAACATGTAAAACACCACAATGGAAACTGATTGGATGAAGTGCATGGCTTGTGTGGAAATTTTTTTCCCCTCTGTAGGTTTCTGAATGGTCGGATTAATGTGATGCGATATTTACTTTGTAATGCAACTATTCTGATTGGTTCGCTTCACAGCTGAGGCGAGCCACCATTTCAAACCCCATAACGGGAGTCTTGGAGACGGCACATTACAGAATTAGCAAAAGGTAAGAGACTTCGTACACCAAACATTCTGGGCCTGTAATGAGTGCTTGTTCTCTGCTCATTCAGGGATAGAGAGGTGGTCTAAAAACATACTTTAGACTTTCTAGACCATCTCTTTAATATGTACAGATATTGTAACAGGCTGTTACTGCTGAGTTTCTCAGTCTTTTCCTCTAACTAGAAGTTCTGTTTTTTGCCGTTTTAGCTAATATTCCTTTTTTCAAATAGTATTTTGTACAGGTGCATAGAATGTGCACAGGTGCAAAACTCAGTGGAGGTTCCCTTGTATGTGATTTCCCTGACCACATATGCCAACAAAAATTTGTCATTGCTCTCTTTGCTAAATCTGGCAGACTCTCTGAGGATCCCTTGCATTCAGAAGTGGAGTCACATTATCCTGCATAACAGTTGCATTGGCATGCAGAAGCATTTGTTCATTAGTCATATAAAATACAATTGTCCAAGATAATCTGTCTTCCTCCGGTCTGTTTTGTTTGTTTGTTTTTGGCTGCCTCCTAACTCAAACCTTGAAGAAAGCAGCAGTGTTTTTTTTCTTTACCGGCTTCCAAGTTCTCTCCACTTTGCTAAAAAGCACTGCAGATTTGTGAATTTGAGTTGTTTGTTTTCTGAAAAGTTTGATAATGTCTTCGCATTTGCACCTCTCCAAAAGACGTCTTTAGGAGCTGCATAGTAAAGGTCCAGTCCTCCATTAGCTGTTTTGTTTTCCTCACAAAAATCCTGTTCTTCAGCATTTAACAAAAACAAGAAAAGAACATTAAACTTCTGGATACAGAGGAATTTTCTTTGAAACTCAGCACTATGAACTATTTGCAGAAAGTCTCTGGTTTTTAAAAAAAAAAGAGAGGAAAGAAAAAAGTGAAAGGACATTCTAACCAAATTTGTCCACCCAATTCTTCATTTTGGAAATGGCAGCTGCAACTACTGTCTCCCTTCTAAATACTGCTGCTGATCTGAGAGCATTGCATACCATCCAGACCAATCGGAAACCCTTCCAATCACCTGTGGCTTGTCAAAAAGAAGCCTGCTATCAGAGTAAGCCCTTGTCCTTTCTCTTTTTGTAGCTGAGCCGGGCTACTGTACATGACCCTCAGACTGGGAAACTGACCACAGCACATTACAGAGTCTCTAAGAGGTAAGGGGAATGTGTTCCAAAGGTATATCTAACACCTAGGAAATCTGTTCTGTAGCTAACCTGTTAAATCTTCTAGTTGCAAATCTGGGATGAGGGAAGATTATACATATTTGTTTCTTGTGCTCATTTCTATTTAGAAGAGATGAGGTGGCCTAAAAATTACCTGGCACGTATTGTTGCAAATGGGCTGCTTAAATGGGACGTTTTAAAGCATTCCTGTTAGCTAAAAGGAAAGCTGCTACTGCTTTTCTGTCTGCATGGTCCTGAATAACACAAATAGCATACTAAAAACCTGCTAAAAAAATGGGAAGATTCCCACCTAAACTAAAATTCAGAAAGGGCTGCACTTGTTGTTTGTACCATTGTACCAATATATGTTTAAAATTAAGCACTTGAGATTTGTTATAATGAATAGCAACAACAGCATGAGTAGAGAGCTTGAGAACTTTAGTTCAAAAATTCTTTGTTTATTGTTTGTTTATCACAACACTAACTAGTTGTTCATTTACTCTGCTAGTTGATTTAATATAAAATCCAGCATTCATTGGAAAATATTAGAGCCACATTTTGTTTGATTAAATTATCTTTTGAACAAATGAAACTATCATTAAAGGGTTTTTGTCCATAGTTTTAACCTCAACATTTGAATAGTGTTTTTTAAAAAGGGGTAAAAATGAATTGGGTTTACAGAGATGTAAAATTTCTGAAATATTCTCCCCCTTCCACAAAAACCATTAGCTTTTAGTTAGTTATGTGAGCAGTGAGTTTAGAACCCTTATGAACAAGAAGACTACTACTAATTAAATACTAGATTATTAGAAATTCTGTTCCAAAAGGATTGGTAGTAAATAGACTTGTTGAGGAAATATCCTCCTCTTAGGGCTTTTTGACTGAGCTGGTTTGGATTCCAGATAAATCCTTACTACTGAAAACCAGAAACGATATGCTCTATTTCCTGGGTTGTTTTTTTTTTTTTTTTAAATAGATGGCTGCTTCCCCACTCCAAACATTACAGGCATTCTTTCCTAGTCATTGCCCTTCTAAATTACAGCATTCCTCCATGAGGAGACTACTGTTCACTCAGCAGTACGTGGCAGACTGTGTTAACAGGGGCATGTTGCCAGCTGCATGAAGAGGCATGTCAAGCCTTGCTGTATGCAGTACAAGAATATATCCAGACAGTTTGACACAGCTTTCAAGGAAACTAGTGGTTTTTGAGGCAGCCAGTTAGAATCCGTAGCATACGAGGTTAGTGTTTACTCTTCAGGAATATCAGCCTCTGCTTTTATTTTAATCACTGCTCTTTCTCTAAAGGAAGTGTATTTAGACCATCCTTAGTATGTAAAGATGTTAGTAATGTTGTATTTTATATATCTCATAACAAAGCCAATGAGTAGGTTATAGTCCACCTTTTAAGAAATGACTAGAAATGTTAAGGAAGGGGAGTAAATGTAATTGCAATTTTTAACTGTTCATTTGTAATAAGGTCAGACATCCATTTCCCAATTTTTTTTTAATTTTCAAGTTGAGAAAATGTTAAATATCCACCAGTGTGGATTTAAAATGCTTCATAAAATATTTTATGTAAAATACAGTGTGGCAGAATGTTTCTAATTCAGGTGTACAGATCATGCTGTACATGAAGAGCTTCTGAAGGGGAGAGGCTAAATGTTATGTTCTGACAATGGCAGCAATGATAACTAGACCTTTCTACCCTTCAGGGAATCTCTAAGAATTTTGGCTTTTTGAAGTGGCACAAAGAAAAGTCCTATGTTAGCTTCCCTGTGATTCCCTCTTAAAGTAAAATGGAAAAATGCTTGTGGGCTTCGCGAGTAAAAGGGGTTTCAAAAGAATTATTTTTCACCAGGAAAAAAAAGCTCCTCTTAATGTGGATGATAGTCTTTTCGATGTAAGGTTACCTGTCTGTAACGTTCACTTGAAGCATAATGATACTTCTAATGAGTGAAATTGTTTTCTGGCTAGTAGAAGTTGAAGGAAAAGTTACACTGAAGGGCAAGAGCCTGGCATGCATTTCACAAGAGCTGCTCTGATCCTTAAATCCACACTTGAATAGTTCAGCTAGTTGAGCACAATTTTCTAACTGATTACTAATCCTATAAGCACAAAAGCTTATGCTCAAATAAATTTTAGTCTCTAAGGTGCCACAAGTACTCCTTTTCTTTTTGTGGATACAGACTAACACGGCTGCTACTCTGAAACTAATCCTATAGTGCAATTTCCAGTGGAAAAATGTCTTCAGGTTTGTGTGAGAGAAGGGTAGTGGAGCAAGTGAAATGAAGTTTTTCAAGTGGAGGATTTCTCTCCCTGTGGAGCAGCCCTCACTGTACATACCTACCTTGGCTGCTTTGATAGTGAGCTCTGCAAGAGATAGACAGAACAGCTCCCTTAGACTGACTTTTTTTTTTTATATACCCATGGAGAACAAAAGTTGAGACCAGCAGCAAAAATGGATGATACAGATGGGCTCATATTCCTGAAGGGCAGATAGACAAATCCTGCTGGAAGTTGCAGTTCTGGAGGAACCTCTTCATATGCATAATAAAAGCCAATGGAGCTTACTAGAGCAGCGGTTCTCAATCTGGGGTCAGGACTGCAAAGTAGGTCACGACATCATTTTAATAGGGTCACCAGGATCAGCACAGACTTGCTGGGACTTAGAGATGAAGACCAAGCTCCCCACCCCACCCAGGGTGGCTCGGGCCCCCTCTCCCTCCATCCGAGGTGGTGGAACCCCTCCTCTCCCCCTTCATTTAGTAAATTTGTTGTCAGAAGGAGGTTGTGATGCAATGAAGTTTGAGAACTTCTGCACTAGAGGCTTAGAGAACTACCAGAGGCTAGTTGGTGCTGGAAAATCAATCTAGAGCTAGGAATACGCAAATCCTCCTGAGCTGTGATAGGAACTGAGGAAGTAGACTCAGTGATGCTTATGGGTGACAACTTGTGCCAAATGTCTTGCTAGAAGTCATTATTCAACTCTACCAAGTAGCTTTCACTGCCAAGTTACTCTTCCAAAGTATGTATGATGCTTTACCAGAAATAAGACTGATGCTTCATAGTCTTTCTTCACAAAAGTTTGCTTTATCTGGATCATCTGTTTCCTTCTGTTCTCTGTCACATGGCTGTGGTCAGGAAACAACTGCCAGACCCAGAAAGCTGTCTCAGGTCTGGCAAACATGAAAATGCAAGATCACCCGCCCCCCCTCCTCCCCCCCTACTGCCCCTTCTATCTTATACGCTATGGTAACGGGGGGCTAAATAAATACTTGAGTGCCTCAGACTCTATTGTATTTATCCTCCCACCACTTGTGTGAAGTAGGCAGGTTCTGTTTTCCCCATTTTACAAAAAGGGGTACTGTAACACAGACTAAGTGAATTGCCTGTGGAAGTCTGTGGTGGAGCAGGGCATTGAACTTGAGTTGAATCTAGTCCTAACCACTAGACTACCTGTCTTCTCTTTCGTACTCAAGAGGGAGGTGAAAGCTACTTGGTAGAGTTGAATAGTGACTTCTAGCAAGTACGGATTGAATTGGGCGTGATGGCGTAGCCTGATAGTAACAAAATGGTCTTATTGTGGTGGTTTTTTGTGTGGTTGTTACAGTGCCTTTCTGAGGACAGTGTTGCATGTTCTGGGGTTTTAATTTTCAATATGCAGTGTATAATTGGCTGTTGTGGGAAATGCTTCATATGCACACATTCCTCTTCCTTTCCTTCTTGATCATTCCAAACAGAATCAGGATAGTCTGCTTTTAACACTTTCTTATGCTAACAATTGTTCAAAAGTATTTTTATAAATACTCCCAGTGTGCTGAAGTCCTCATTTTGAGATGGACTGCATTTACGTACTGTTCTGTACATGGTGAATATTTAAACAGATTTCATGTTTGCCCTTGGAGATTCTGTAACCTGTGTCAGTACCATGTGTTGTAGGAACGTGTTTTGCTGCTTCTCTTGATGTGGGGCGTTCTGGGGCTTTTAAAAGAACAGGTATGTAAAAATACACTGATGTTAGTAGGTGAAAAATTGTTATAAACCTTTGAACCAACGTACATACTGATTTGCCAGTTCACTGGTTCTCAGATTGGTCTGTGGGCACCGATGTTCAAGTGTTGTGGGCTTCTAGTTTCCCACTGTTTTTATAGGTATCTAAACTTTTCATTGCAAAGATGATCCAGGGAGTTAGCTGTGCGGCTAGGAGGAGTTATCACATAAAAGGGTTGTAAACACCAAGGGAGCAGAGTCACCAGTGTTTCGTGTTGTACATGAGAGAGGACACTCTGGTGAAGAAAAAGAAGAGGAAAAGATGGCTGGGTAGCATATGCAAAGAGGAAGAAAAAAGGGACTAGAGAAAAGGAAGCTATATTGCTGGAGACACATCAGGATTGTTATATGTTCATGAGGGCTAAGGGAAATGGTCCAGTAGACGGGCTCAGATGTGATGACACGAAGTTTGAGCCCTGCTGCATTAGTCGGTAATACTCAAGTTAAATCATTACCTTTGAATACAGTCGCTATTTTTACATTGCTTGACTTTCAAGAATGGACGTAACAAACGGGATAACATTGTGATTTGTCTTCTCCATACCTGCAAAATGATACATTGGTTCAGTAGTCTGTGTCTGGATGAAGACAGCGGATTCATACTGAAGGCTTACATAGTATCAGTTATTTCTGCACCTATTTTATTTCTGTCTGAACTCATTTTTTCCCCAAAGTATCTTAATTGCAAAGGAAGCTCTTGGTTCCAAGTTTGAAACATCATCATTTAAAGGTAGCAAAGTTCTAAAATGATTTTCAGGACTTTGAGGCTGACCTTTTTAGGAAGCTGGAGAATATTTAAAAAATGATACTGGGTAATATTTGCTTACTCAAGTAAAGCAGAACTATTTGCTAAATACTGAATATTCTACAAGCTGTTCTGGTAAGAATTCCTGAACAAGGAGGAGAGAAATTAAAATACCTTTTTCGTGTATTCAGATTTTTTCGTTTTTAAATATACTTTGCTCTCGCCACCAATGAGGGAAGATGGGGAAACTTTGGCCATTTCATATTCTATTCTCCAGAAGCCTTTCTGAAAATAGATGTTTATCTCGAGAGCCCGCAAAAAGTTGTTCCTGTTCTATTTAAAAAAAGAGGACAGCTACAGTAAAGCTAGTATAGTATTGCTCACTGCATAAACATTTGGACTGTGCTTTATGTGGATCTATGCTGTTATGCTTGGAATATGGAGGTAGTCCCTTTGCCACAGTTCTCTAGTGCCTTTCTTCCTCTTTCATGAGAACACATGGTTACAGGGGAAATTAAAGCAGCTGTCCAAACAGGGCTTTGATTGAGATGGGTTGACAACCCAGTCCCTCCTACCACCACCATTTATTTATTTATTTTAAGGCACTCCTCTTATTCTTTAGAATTTCCATTTTTTTTTAAAAAAAATGTTACATCTCTAGTCCTTATAGTTGCAGAGAAAGCATTAAAATGTGAAACCAAATGTCAGTGCAGTATGTCTGGAAAAAATAGGTCTGAGGGATGTGAATTGCCCTATTTATTTCATTGTCTGTCTGATAATGGAAGACTTGTCAGTGAAGTTTCATTGTTGTTAAAGCAAGCAAGAAAGAAGTGAGGGAGAGTGTGGAAATCACAAATCTGTATAACCTGAGAGGATAGTGTTTGGGAGAGTTGAGTTGCAATCGCCATAGTCCTGTGTATGCTGAGCCAAAAACAGAGATAAGGGTCCATGTTTAAACACTGCTTCGACTGCATAAGTTCCTACCATGGATTGGCTGTTCAGAATAGACAGGGCAAAACTTGTGTTTGCAAGCTTGTTCAAAATTATTGTTAGAACCTGACATAAAATAATGGAATACAGTTTTTAGTCCTGTTCACCCCAGCTGGCCAAATAGTATTGGAAAGTAACTTACCTCGTTTAAAAAGTTTAAATATGGTTCCTTTGATCACTTCCTAGCCTCTTATAGAAACTAGGTGCCTTATTCAAGATGCTGATATTACCAAAGTGACAAAGGTAATCTCTGGTAAGAGAAGCCTCACAAATGTGGGACCTGGCAATGCCAGTAATTATAGTATTAGCCTAAAGAATTGTCTACAGATGGCTCTAAGTCTTTATACACATTTTAGAAATTATAAAACTCTGTTCCACTTATAACACAAGCTTGTGGTATGTTACTAGCAAATCATTTTCCTTTTTTAATTTAGTGCCTGGTTGTCTGGATATGAAAGCCCTGTGGTATCTCGCATTAACCTGAGGATACAGGACCTAACAGGACTGGATGTTTCCACAGCAGAGGAACTACAGGTGTGTAAATGAGTATTTCAGTAACTAGTCACACCAGACTTTGGTTTGAATTAAATGGACTTTAAAATCTACTGAACAGCAGACATCCATGTAGTCTTCAGACAGCTGCTTTGGGGGATATATGCAGAGGCTTCTTTTTTGGTGTGCACTCAACTCCTTCAGGTGTTACTGAAAGTCAGGCCTAATCAATACGGGAAGAACATCAATGCCTTGTTGTTTAAGTTGAGTAACTGAGCCAAATTCAGTCTTGGTCTAGAGGGGAACCAATTCCATTTTCAGTGGAGCAGCACCTGCTTGTCCCAGGGCTGAGTTTGACTTAGAACCTGGAGGGAAGTAGAGAACAGTTGAAATTTCTGCTCTTTAAAGTGAGTGAGGTTTTTTGTTTAGAAAACTTTTTTTTTATTGCCAGCAATAAAACCAGGTTTTCTGATGGTAGCTCAAATTTTCGTGGGAACGGTCTCTAGAGAAATACTGGTTTTGACTGATATTTAAGGGAATGGGTTGTTTTCTCTGAATCCATCTCAAGATTAGAAAGTCTCAGGAAACTGATTGAGGACTTTATCCTTAATTCATCAGCATTGTTAGACATGGGGAAGATTGTGACTGCACGTGTATATTTTAAGTGAATTAAATAAATTCAGTAGTTGCAGTGGGCTGTGCTGCGGGATTTGGGGTCTTAATTTATCAACGTGGAAGCATCACATCTTACACGTAATGTGAATGGCAGTAAATGTTAACACTGTTGCAAAAAAAAGCAAACATTCTGGGCTGCATTAGCAGGGGTGTTGTAAGCAAGACACAAGCAGTAATTCTTCCACTCTACTCCATGCTGATTAGGCCTCAACTGGAGTATTGTATCTAGTATGGGTGCCACATTTCAGGAAAGATGTGGGCAAACTGGAGAAAGTCCAAAGAAGAGGAACAAAAAATGATTAAAGGTACAGCAAACAAGGGAAGGTTGAAAAAACTGAGTTTTAGTCTGGAGAAGAGAAGACTGAGGGAGTACAGAACAATTTTCAAGTACATAAAAGGTGATTACAAGGAGGAGGGAGAGAGAAACTGTTCTTTAACTCCTGAGGATAGGACAAGAAGCAATGGACTTAAGTTGCAGCAAGGGTAGTTTATGTTGGACATTAGGAAAAACTTTCTAACAGGCTGATTAAGCACTGGAATAAATTACCTAGGGAAGTTGTGGAATCTCCGTCATTGTCTAACCTGCTCTTAAAAATCTCCAAACATCCTGTCAGGGATGGTCTAGATAATACTTCCTTAAGTGCAGGGGACTGGACTAGAAGACTGCTCGAGGTCCCTTCCAGTCCTACGATTCTCTGATTAAGATGTAGAAAGTGTGACTGCTGATCATGAAACCAGGCTTGCCACCCTAAACAAAGTTCACATGAGGATAAAATGCCCAGGTATCCAGCTCAGAATAGAGGGCTCTTTAGAGCAGGGGTGGGCAAACTACAACCCGCGGGCCATAGCTGGCTTGCCACCTGATTTAATCCAGCCCTTGAGCTCCCGCTGGAGAGAGGGGTGTGGGGCTTGCCCTGCTCCCGCATTGGAGCGGGATGGGGGGGCCACTCCGCGCACACGTGCCACAGCTACCAGAAGCTGTGGTGTGTCCCCCTTCCAACTCCGATGTTTAGGGGCAGCCAGGGGGCTCGTTGCACAGGTGCTGCCCCCGCAGATCTCCATTGGTCAGGAACTGCAGCCAGTGGGAGCTGCAGGGGCGGCACCTGCGGATAGGGCAGCGCACAGAGCTGCCTGTCTGAGCCTCTGCGTAGGAGACAGAGGGGGGACATGTCGCTGCTTCCGGGAACTGCTTGAGGTAAGTGCCACCTGGAGCCTGCACCCCTGACCCCCTCCTGTGCCCCAACCCCGTGCCCCAGCCCTGTTTCCCCCTCCCATCCTCCAAACTGATCAGTCCCTGCCCAGAGCACCTTCCTGCATCTGAAACCCCTCATTCCCATCCACATGCCAGAGCCTGCATCCCCTCCTGCACCCCAACCCAATTTTGTGAGCATTCATGGCCTACCATACAATTTTCATACCCAGATGTGGCCCTCGGGCCAAAAAGTTTGCCCATCCCTGCTTTAGAGTGTTGTGTAGGATAAAGTGGCAGATGGAAGTCCGTAATATAGTGGACAAGAGAAAATGTGATCAGGCTGGTTACTAATATCCAAAACTGAGCTTGGTTTGAGGGAGAGCTTAGTTTGAGAGGGAGAGTTCCTGTTAAAGGATGGGGAAGTGATTTGGAGTGACACACAAGGATGTGTTAAGAACAATTTTGTAAGTCTTTTATAGAAGCTAATTACTATTTTATCTATGACTTGGATAAAGGACTTCTTGGTATAAAACAGACAGCCATTACAGGAGGGGAACGTTACTCAAAATGACTGATAGACTAGAGGCAAGCAGGGACAGATGATTGCTCTTACACTTCTCTGAACAGAACTGCAGAAGCTGTAGTATCAAAAAGGTTTCAGAGTAGCAGCTGTGTTAGTCTGTATCCGCAAAAAGAACAGGAGTACTTGTGGTACCTTAGAGACTAACAAATTTATGTGAGCATAAGCTTTCATGGGCTACAGCTCACTTCATAGGATGCAAAAAGGTGACTCTCTTTGTTGATACTCTGTGCAATGGAGGAGTATTTGAAGGAGAGATGGTTCCAGCTGTGATCGTCAGTAAAGTAACCGCAGTGGAGTGAAATATTAGAGCTCTCACTTCAAAAACAGACTCTGCTGCAGAGTCCTAACTCATAAATAGTCTTGGATTCACTTCTGCTGAGCTAGTCTAACACTGCATGAAGGGTTAATTACCTGATTTTTTTCAAAGATGCCGAGCATCCCAACGCAGGAGTCTGACAGCTGAAGATGCTCAGCATCTTTAAAAAATCATACTTGGACCTGACCACCTTCAGGATTTTAGAGAAGGATTGTACAAGTCAATAGACTTTCTTAGTGTACATTCTGTCTGTGTATAAATACAATTTAAAGTGTCTATATGACTTAACATGGGAGAAGAGTGCAGGAAAGTTAATTCAGGGTAACAGAAAATGAAGATGTATTTGGCTGTCTCGAGGGCAGCATTTTCTCAGATGTAGCCACTTTGGCTGCATGAGGCCATCAGGGGCTTTTCTTCTGGCTCTTCTTTCCCCCTCCCCCAATTGCCCCTGCTGCCTCCTCCGGCCGTGGGCTTTGGCCTTGTGGTGGCAGGTTTACCACTTATCGCCCCCGGTGCCTTCTCTGACCACACGGCAGCAGACTCCGTCCCCTGGCTGTGGGATTGGAGCTTGGGCCCCGGGATCCAACCCTGGCCATGCAGCGGATCTGCCCAGGGCTCACCCCCCAATAACCCCTGGCTCCCCATTTAGGGCTTAATTTGTTCCCATGCTTGCTGGGGCTGAGTAAGTCTGCTATGAAAGGTGATATTTGTATGTTTGTTAATGTCACTTTTCACAGCAGACTGAGTAGCTAGCTGAGTGGGAGGCTGTGAAATGTGATATTAACATACAAATATCACTTTTCACAGCAACAGACTTACTAGCAAGCAAGTCTTTTACAAAGAAAAAAACCACCCGAAAAAGACAAGAACGTGCAAAGCACCTTATTTGTGTTTCTATTGTGTTTAGGTCCAGTAAAGAATAGAGACAAGTGTAAATTATTTTTATTACTGAGTCTGCAAAAAAACAACAACCCCTCCCCACGTAAATAAATTACAATAATTTTGAGACGTATATGTGCATATTTATTTTTTTTCCTAAACTTAATTCAGTATTTTAGGAAAAATTGTTAGTGGCCACCGCAAGAGTTGGTGGCTGCACTCCAGGGCCACCAAAAAACCTTGAGAACCCCTATTCTAGGGTTTGAAATGCTATCATGAGATAGCTGTAAAAAATGAACCCGAGACTCTCAGCTCAGAGCTAAACTCCTGCTTGTATTCTCATGAGTAGTCTGATTCATTGAAATCAATGGAACTATTCATGAGAGTAGGTTTAATAGGATTTAACTCTTTGTTATTTCACGGTATGCCCTACAGGGGAGGGATTTATTTTTTATGACTTCGAATTTTTTGTAGATGAAAGTTTTAAGTGTACAGGCTGGAGTCAAATATTCATTCTCTCTCCTCCAGATAATATACTGCTTTATTAGATTTTTATGCTTCTCCTTTCACTATAGGTAGCCAACTACGGCGTAGGAGGCCAGTACGAGCCTCATTTTGATTTTGGAAGGGTAAGTTCCTCTACTTCTCTGCCTTCACGGCTTTCTACTTCACATGCACTGTGTTTCTCTTTTTCAGGTGGCAAATTATGGAGTGGGAGGACAGTATGAACCCCACTTTGACTTTGCACGGGCAAGTAAAGAGGTGGAGGGGTAAAAATGACATACTGAAGCCTAGGCCTGTTGACTATGGCACAATATATTTTCTTTAACTTGTGTTAAATTTCATAGCCTATTAGCTCTTCTAATCCATATTAATGGGTAAAGCCCTCTAAACCACCAACTGAACAGGCATTATAAAGCAGTAAGATCTCCTTTCAAACTGTAAAACAGTATTTTATTGAGGGAGGTGACTAATTCTTTCAAACTGAAGGTATTAACCCCATTTTAGAAATGGGAGATGGACCAGGTATGACTGGCTCAGCGAACTGTAATAATGAAAAGTCAATGTAATAATCTTTAGTCACTGGTGCAAGTTGAACCAAAGTCTGCAGTGAATCAAAGTCATTACTACTGATGTCTGTTTTGGTGACGTATGGAAAATGATGATGTGGTCTCAATCAACAGTTTTCACTCTCACAAATTACCACAATTTGCACCCCCCTAGGTAGTCTCTTCAGAGAGACCAGGAACTGAATGGGCCTGGAGACTTAATTATCTTCTCTTTTCTAGAGAGAGTCCCTGCAGGTCAGGATTGTCTGGACAGTGTGGTGAAGTGTGCATTTGCTACTGCCTATTGCTATACCTTTAACGTGGAGAGAGAATTTCATTTCCCAGAGCTGTGAGTTTTAGCACCTTTCACTAGCAGTAAATTCTCGTACATCAATCCACTGCTTTTTCTGGTTTATAAATTGCATAAAAAATTAATTGCCCAAAGACAAAAATTAAGAGATGGCAAAAGCCTTTTATGTTCCCTCCCCTCCCAAACTCTGCTTTTGTTTGTTGCTTATTTGATAAACAATTTGAATTGCCTCATCTCTCCCTATCCCAACTGAATTTCACATGACTGGAAGTAATGCCATTTCAGCTGGTTGTTTAATGGGCATTTTATGTGTGATTAACATTGTCCTGTGAACCAAAACCAACAAATATGAAAAGTCCTGTCATCAAAGACATTGAAAATCATTAACCGTTTGTTTTCAGCTGCATGAATTAATTTCTAAAATAATGGCTTCTCAGAAGAATGACTCCAGTACACAAAAATATACGATGTTATTGTGCGGGGGGAAGGCATTGGAGACCATCCCACAGATGAATATGTAACAGTAATTCGTCTCAACCAGAAGGAAAGAGTTTCCTGGCCCACAGTGTGGATGGTTCCTCTTGTGATGCAAGGGATACAGTTTTAAAAATGTTCTTTAGGGCAGCTCTTTGTTATAGCAGTGCCATTGTGGCATACGAAGGGAGGAAGTCAAAATTTATTTTTTTTAGTTGCTTTCTAGCTAACTCAGTGTTAAATCAGTAATGTGGGCATGGCTTCTTGATTGGCTGAACTTCAGTAATTGCATTAAAATTAGGGCTGTCAAAGGATTAATTGCATGAGTAATCACAGTTTTTTTAATCACACTGTTAAACACTAGAATGCCATTATTTAAATATTTTTGGATATTTTCTACATTTTCTAATAGATTGATTTCAATTATAACAGAATAAAAAGTGTAGCATGCTCTTTATATTTATTACAGATATTTGCACTGTGAAAAGTTTTTTTTAGTTCACTTAAGAGATTGCTCTACAGTACTTGTATTATCATGAAAGTTGAACTTACAAATGTTATGTACAAAAAAAACCTTGCATTCAAAAATAAAAAAAGTAGAACTTGAGCCTACAAGTCCATTCTGTCCTACTTCTTGTTCAGCCAATCATTAAGAGAAACAAATTTGTTTCCATTTACAGGAGGTAATGCTGCCTGCTTCTTAATTAGTGTCACCTGAAAGTGAGAACAGGTGTTCTCATGGCACTGTTGTAGCCAGTGTTACAAGATATTTAAATGCCAGATGCGCTAAAGATTCATATGTCCCTTGATGCTTCAACCACCATTACAGAGGACATGCATCCATGCTGATGACACACAGGCTTGGATCTTTATATAAATACATCTCAGAATATACATTTTATGCATTAATGCATGGTCATATTTTATCCGCAGCTTCAGCAATTAGAGCCAGACATCCTGCTTCTGAGAAATTGCAGCTGTAACACTAAGAATTGGATAATTTAATATCTAAGCTGTATAAAATGTGAAAGTTAAGAAAGCCAAATAGCACTGGCAGCAACATCATGGCACAGGGGCAAATACAGTAACTAGCAGGTATAGTCCCTACCAAAGGGTCACTTGTGCACTAGTATAAAGAATGGGGGCAGAAAAGGGAAAAGCAGATGGAAAAAGGGAGATGGCTAAAAATCAGGAAAAGAGCCAAAATAGAGGTAGGGTTGCTGCATGTGTTAAAGGCAGCCAATGAGGTATGTCCCCAAGGAAGTCCTGACCTCAGCCTGCTTCTCACTCAACTGAGGCAGTGAGGAGCAGATTTCCTTTGTGTAAACTCAGGTGCTTTTCAGTTACAATTAGACAAGTACTTAAGGCCTAGATTATGAAGGGGTTATATTAATTTTTAAGACAAACACAAAGGGCCATTTTCAACTTGTCATGTGGGCTGGAACCTTTTAATTTCAGTAGTTCTAGCAAAGGAAAAATATTTAACAAATAAACCAATATATACAATTTCCTTGCGCTCTGTGTCCCGAGCTCTTTGATTTTTTTTCTGCATGAGTTTGTTTGCTGGCACTGCAAGTGTCTGTCCACTGGTGTGCAAATTACATGATTAAAATAATGAGCATTTTATTAAATCAGTGTGTTGCTTTCTTTCACAGAAAGATGAGCCAGATGCTTTTAAAGAATTGGGAACAGGCAACAGAATTGCTACTTGGTTGTTTTATGTAAGTGAGACATTTTTAGCCATATCATTACAAACTGTTTCTGCCAAAAATGTTAGTTTCTATTTCCGCATCTTTATCTTAGGCACTTGAGTGATTTCAGTGATTCTGATTTATGTAATCTGCAAATAAAGGCAGCTAATAATTGCTCAGTGGTAAATAAGAGTACCTTTTAAAATTAGGCCAACTTAAAAAAAAAAAAAATTAAGAAAACGTACAGCCTTGAAGGTCTTTTCTTTAGGTGCTTGAGGCTTTTTTTTTTTTAAATCTGAAAGGTAGTTAACAGGTCTGACACTTCCTGTGAATACCCAAAGTTGTGAGGCACTTCGCTACCATCTGCCCTTCATGTAAGGAAGCCTTCTCTGTACATAGCAGGAGTCAGCTCTGCAACTCCTGACCCAGATCAACACAAGCATTTCCATCTAGGCATTGCTGGTTCAACTATTACTCTGTATTTTAGCAATAAGCCCACTACAACCCTCAGGCTTTCCAAGCATCTCCCTGGAGTCTTCACTCCCTTTTCCGCTGGACACATGGTATTTACAGATTTGGTGTGTCCAAAGAAATAGTACACTCCAGTTTACCCATTCCACCTCACATCACCTTTGCGCTTCACACAGCACTTAAATATGTTTACAGTGAAATCAAGTAGGTTTATTTAACAAAACATAGCGATTCAAGTAATAGCAAGTAGTAGTATTGGAAGCAAAAGGCTTACATTTAAAATAGAATCATAACATGCATTCTACAACCTAGACTTAATTAAATAGATTCTTGCAGAGTTATGCTCACCAAAAGTCCTTGTAGTGTTTTACAGCCAGTCTTGGCTGTAATCCTGTTTTCATGAGAGACATGCTGTCAGATTGTCTCCGAGGTGAAGGACTCAGTGTTTCTTTGCCTCCCCAGATATACAAATCCTATTCTTAGTCTTTATTCATAAACAGAACACACACTCATAGACCCTGCTGATTTATTTTTTCTTGCAGATTTTCTCCCACAGATTGTATAACTGTTGAACTCGCACCTGGCTCAGTCTGTATATAAGCCTCCAGTGTGAGGCAGACAATACACAATATGCATGACCAGGCAGGGAGAGAAGTGTCTGTTACCTCCTGCCTGAAACGAACCTGTGCAAGACCTGTTGTCTCGTGGTGCCCTGAGTTAAGAACCCAAATTCTTATACCTTAAGAACATAACTGAAACATACTTTTCAGTATAAATACGTAACTTCTTAAATATTACCTATACATACATTTTGCAGTGATTGATGACCATTGGGCTACTGGTCTGAGACGGTACAACTTTTTTGTGAACTATTATGCATCTGTTTGACCCAGGGGATCCCTGTGCACCACCTGTGCCTTCTACCAGTTGGCAACAAGCGGTCCCAACAGGCACATGCAGGAAGTTGTCCATCGGTCCATGCCTCTCCTTACCTCTTTACCCACCTAGTGGGTAACTCCCTAGTGGTGCAGGCAGCCACAGAGAGATCAAGATTACAACACCCCAGGGCAGCTCTAACAGATAAAGTCTCTAAATGCAGCAAATGCCTTGACCTTCTGGAAAGGATTTTCATCAACCAACCTCCAAGTCAGAATTTGCTAACTACAAGGTCGTGCTTCCTCAGGAGGACAGGACTCAATTCCAGGACCTCATAGAGGAAATCAAACTGGTGCCTGAGACCTCATTCCAAGCGGCAGTGGACATGGGTGATCCCATGTTTAGAGCTGTTGCTAAAGCTATAGTTATGATGCTTGAATCATGCCTTGATTCTTTAGGATTCCCCAGGGAGGTCCAGAATATCATTGAGGATTTGCCCTTACAGTCTAACTCTTCACAGGAAAGTTGATGAGTCGTTGCACTTGTGTAAGGACTCCGGACAATTCTCCACTCCCTGGGCATTTATATCCCAGCCCCAAAGAGAAAACAACACAAGCAGGGTTATAAACCCAGACATGCCTCTCAGCCATTTTATCACTAGCACTTATACAAGCTGCCATCCAGTGTAAGAGCATACAAAGATGCGGATATACTGCTTCCTCTGCCTCAACTGTCACTGCTCTCTCCTACTCCACCACCCGGGGGTTTCTTTTGATGGGGCACGCTGTGTAGCTCTACTGACGCCATGCCATTCCTTGCTAACACCAGACTTTTGGTGGTTGCCTTGCCCACAACTTCCTAATTCCAATGAGAGGAGACTTCATTCTCATGACATCAGATGGGCTTTGGCATTCTATCTGCAAAGAACAAAACCAATTAGGAAGTCTTGAAGGTTAGTTGTTGAAATAGTGATTGCAAGGAAAAGCATTACCTGCACGCGCGCGCTCTCTCTCAGCTGGTGCGTATTCCTCCTTTAGACAGGTGAAAGCACTAGACCATGAGCAACCTCAACAGCATCTTTTACAGAGGTACCTATACTACATATCTGTAGAGCGGCTACCCTGGAGTGCCATCCATATCTTCATGAAACATTATGCCTTAGTGTAGGCCTCTTTTGCAGCTGCAGCTGTTGGGACAGCAGTTTTACAGACATCTATACCAACTGCATCTTCGCACCCTCCTTCTTTTTGAATACTGCTTACCAACCATCCACATGTGGAATACACATAGGGACCAGTACTTGAAGAAATACTTATCTGTAACTGGAGGTTCTTTGAAGTGTGGAGTCCCTATTTGTATGCTACTACCTGCCCTCCTTCCCCTCTGCTTGAGATCTTTTTTGATTCATGGTAAGAAGAAGAACTGGAAAGGTGTTGGTTTGCACTGTCCTTTATAGCCTCAGTTTGGAGCATGAGGAGACCAAGTGTGTGGGTGCAGAACAATAGACATTACTTGCTAAGAAATTTCCAGTCTAGGTGAATGGAGTACATGCATATCCATATGTGGAATACAGATAGGGCTGACACATGTCAAAGAACCTCTAGCTACAGATAAGTGAACTCCATTTTTCTAGCTGCCACAGTATTTGTACTCTGCTCATCATTGAGGCATCTGAAAGCCTTACAAATTCTGGAACAAGAATGGCTACCACATACTGTGTTTAATGCTACAGGGCCATAGCAAATGTGATTTTACAGCTAGTCACAGAAATTGTGCCCTTAATGAGGAGTCAGAAATGAAGGTTTTTAGTAACTTAATATTTTATTGATGTGGTTTTGGGAAAGCACTGAGTAAAAGTGCTCTTATTTTCTCTCCTTTACAGATGAGTGATGTATCAGCAGGGGGAGCTACTGTATTCCCTGAAGTAGGAGCTAGTGTTTGGCCTAAAAAGGTAAGATGAGTTTTAATGCAACTTAGATGTTACTCTCCCACTTTCCCTCCATTAATATCCAGCTGTGAGGAACTGTATATTTGGATGTTTAAATGTAAAATGAAAACTTCCAAATGAATTGACTAAAGAAAGTACTAGGCCACCAATCCTGCAAACACTTAAGCAGTACCATTTATTTCAGTGGAGCTACCTATGCAAGTAAAATTGCAGGTCAAATCTAGCTGTGCTTGTGCAGAGTTTCTGTTTTTGCTGTTCTGCATGATTATGATTCAATGCATGTTAAAACTTCATAGACTGCTGAAGCCAATAGGTCCAAAACACAAAACTTACCTTACTTGTAATTTGGGTCAAACTCTATTTGCAGGGGAAACCCAGACTAGCCAAGCAGTGCACAGAATAAAACTCCTTTTTAGAAAATTTTGGGTTCTTTTGTCCTCTGTAGGGAGAGAGCTGGGTTCCAGGGCCACTTGGCAACCTGGCTATACTGCCCCAGACACATCAGGGTCATGCCCTTCCAAGCCTGGACAAAATAGTATGGTAGGGGCCAGCTGGGAGGGAGAGGGCTGCTTAGTGAAGTTGAGCCAGGGAGATATGGACAGGATCAATAGGCCACTTGGCCTGCATTCTAATGTTCAGTTGCCACAATGAACACTCACTCCTACCAACAAGTTTTCTTCGTTTAAAAGAAACCAACTCCTCCTCCTCCCCACCCCCAACTAGGACATCAAATGGGAAAAAAAAATTAACACAGTTCAGGTTTCCCAGGGGCAGCTAGTGCCTTTCCAGAACATAGAGTTCAGCAAAACTCAAACTTCAGAAAACCAGGAAATAAGGAGTTAAGGTAAATGCCACATAACTTTACCTCTGCTCCCCTGGAGCTGACAGTAGTCACTGTGAATTATCTACATGCACTGCAGCTGCATTCAACATGAGTGTTTTAACTGTACTAAATGGTTTTAATGGTGGAGGCAGCAGGGGGGTAGACATTTGTTTGTGAGCTGAGAAGAGTCACAGAACTGCGAGTATATGAGAAGTTCAGGATTTGCACCCCACCTCCTATGTGTGAGGAAGGGAAAACAAACAGCACATGTACCTTGAGGAGCCACTGTGGATCATTTTATTACAAAATTTTGTAGGTTGTTTCAGGAGCAAGTTTCGGGAGGGTGTTGCCATGTAAGGTGGAACATGAGAACAGTTTGTAGATGGGTAAGGGAAAGTAGAGGTTTAGGTGGTATCCTGTAAGTGTGAAGCAGCTGTTTAAATTTTACAAGTGTGCTGTGCTGTCAGGAGAGTAGAGTGAATGAGTGTAGGGCAGGTACAAGAAGCTTTTTTTCCTTTTCACTGTAAATTAGAGTATGTGGGTTATGGGGCATTGCTCAAAGAGGGCAATGTTAAGGTTTATGTGGGTGGTTTACCTTAACTTTGCATTTCCTAGTTTTCTGAAGTTTGTCTTGCTTAACCCAAACTTCTGGAAGGACATGAGAAGTCACTGGAAATCTTAACTCTGTGATAACAAAGGTTGTTGCCATTTAAATAAACCTTACATTCTGGATGCACACGGGGGAAAAACGTCAAATGTTTTGGATTTATTAAAACAAAGGAAGGAACTATGGCTAGTGAATTTTAATTGATTGTCACCATACCCTTCATGATTTTAGCGGATCTCAAAAGTTCAGACCTAGGGCTTGCCTACATGGTGAGGTAATTTTGTACTTTTACTCTGTTCTAGAAATCCCTCCACCCGCAGTGTTGCACATTAATTGGTACATGTAGACACTGGTGCACACTTCTAAAGGTTCCCTAGTGCACTTTAACAAACAACACTTTAGGAATCACACCTCCCCATAATGTTTATTATTCCACACTGAAGACAAGTTTTTATTCATAGCTTGGAAGAGAGAAGTGTGTTTGCTTTTTCAGTTCCCACTCAGTTTCTTAACTTTGAGTGAACGAGTTGAAGAAACTGAAATGAAGAAAATATTTTCTTTGCACCTGCAGAAGAGGTTGCTGCCATCAAAAGCTGGTGTAGCACTGCAGCAAACTCAGGTTCCAGGTGCTTAGCCAGTGACTTCCTGCAGTTTCAGTGCTTTGACTCTCTTTAGAACTTGGCAGAAAACATACTTTAATATTCTATTTTGTATTCAATTTAAATGAATATTAAGTTTAGGCTTTAACGGGTTGTCAAGTTTAATTTTAAATACATTCATTTAAAAAATGATTGTAAAAGTCATTGATTATTAGCCCTGCTAGAAGTAAACTTTGTGTTGCATAAAGTAAAATATTATGTTTGTATTGAAATTTCCAGGGAACAGCTGTATTCTGGTACAATCTTTTTCCAAGTGGAGAAGGAGATTACAGCACAAGGCATGCAGCCTGTCCAGTACTAGTTGGAAACAAGTGGGGTAGGTATCCGTATTCTGCCAAATGTCTGATTTTAATTTTTTTTTACTTCGCTGCTTGTGGTAGGATACAGTAGAGCCAAAGCTGCCAGCTCTTTTCAAAAGAAGAGAGCTAGTACGTACCTAGCTACTTCATACTAAGGTTTTCCCAATTTGCAAATATTGTGGGGTTTTCTTCTTAGGCTTAATATGTCAAGTTTCAGGCTATTGCTTTGACATTTATATTTGGGGAATAAAGCTTTTCTGATGCATGTGCTGATAACGTGTATTCACTTTAAATAGAAGTGGTGACCAATGCTATTTTTGTGTCTCATAGTATCCAATAAATGGATCCATGAACGTGGTCAGGAATTCCGAAGACGGTGCACTTTATCAGAGTTGGAATGATGCAAACTTTTCCCTGTCCTGTACTCGTTTGTGTAAAATATGTCTCCCCCATTTAACTTTCTACAATTTATTAACACTCCACTACAGGTACAATCTCCAACCACATCCAGTATTTCATCTGTGAAGAAACACCTACATTGTTTTAGTTCACTCTACAATATCCCTTTTAGAGAGAATATAGTGAGATTTTAAGTTTTTCAGGCTAGAAGGACAAAATATAGTTGTCAGAAATAACAGGGATAATTTGTGATTTATAGTACCCTTTACTCTGTAGAATCTCTGATCAGCAGAGAAAGCCAGTATGTGATTTCTGTTAGTCCTCACAAGCTTGAGTTTACCAGTGGTAAAAAACATGAACAATCTAATTTCAAGCACAGACTCATTGTTTGGAGGGATGCATTAAACCAGTCCTTGTCTCCAGCTTTCTGTTGTAGTGTGCCTGACCACTACAGTTGAACTGTGGGCATGGTTTGTGTTTCTCCTAGACTGTTTTTCCACTACTACAGAAGCCCAGACTTAACTGACTTGTAAATTCTCTCTCATGCCTCTACAGTGAATTTGACTTGTAACCCAGAGAATGTGAGCCTGCAGTCATATACACGTATGTGTTTTGGCTGTGCTGTGTCAGATACCTGTGTGCATCAGAACAGCCTGACAGAAATCATGACCTGCTTTCCAGGTCTAGTTTTGTTTTAATGGCTTAGTTTGTCCATTAAAAAAAAAAATCTGCGTCTTAGTAATAAACCTTTACATTCATTTTGGGGACAGTACCATCTTTGATTAAACAAAGCATTGTGCCTTAGGAGACTGGAATTTTCAAAGTGGTTATGAGGTAATACGCAAGCCTCAAAGGCTTATTTGTAAAAAGCCAAATTTTCCCATGCTGAAATCTTTTGTGACAAAGGCAATCTATTTATAATCTTCACAAATGCTTTTTATTTTGTGTATGTTTTGATATGTTGTGGATATTGAATGCATGCCATAATTGTGACTGGCTTTTTACCAACTCTTGACTGAATTCATACAGGATGTACATGAAAGTAAAAGTGAGGCACACCAGAACCTAGCAGGCCACCCTCTGTCTGTCTAAGCTTGGATTATTAAATGCTGAAAATTTAATAGTGTACAGGTAGCCCCATTTCAGATAATTGGATTTTCTACCTGAGTGAAAACCTGAATATTGAGCCCAAAAGGTCAGAGAATCCAACTATTAACCTATGCAAATACTTTGTAGTACCTTTAAATTGCATCCCTCTTCAGAAGGATTATAATAAAAAAAGTTAAATCAAGTAATCAATGGCAAAATAAAATCTAGCAAAGAAATACACACCAACCGAACAGAGTTCTTGTTCTCTGAATTTTGACTCTTTTACAAGAGGAAAGAAAGGGGCACTGAACAGGGGAGATGAAAAATTTGTTAATCCCCTCATTTATGTTTGTCACTCAATTTTTTCTTCTTTGTCCATTCATTGCTTTCATATGCTTTCTTTTGGTAGCAATGGCTGAAGTTTAGTCCTGCAATTTTTCAGGAAAATAGAGTGGACATGGCTAAGACAGATTGATAGACAGGAACAAAAAACCAAAACACCTCCATTCCAGTACCCCCCTCTATGTAATCAAACAGTTTCTCTTGTTAGAGACATCCAAGTAATAGTGTGGCAGCAAAGAGTCTGTATTTTCTTCTTAAGCAAAACTCACTCTTCTTACATTTTGCCAGTGCCTTTTTTTTTAAACTCTGAGATTTCTCATTTTTTTCTTTTAAGAAGTTAAACAGTCAGTGGTCATCTAAGTTACTGCTATATGCTTGCTTGAAATATCTATTGCTCAAACTGGAAGAAAGCCAGGCTATGCTCCAACCCATCTTTTACTTTCAGTCAGCAGTAGTGAGAAGATGGGGGTATAGCATACCAACCTGTAACTCCCAACTCAGTGCAAGCAAAGACAAACGCACCTTCCTTCAAAAGATGGCTAGAGGTGGGAAACAATGGTTTGGGGCCTATTAGACTTCAGTTGGTAAGTTCAGAAAATAGTGTCTCTTTCTGCACCCACCCATCAATAAGCATTTCTAATGTTCATAGAAACTTATCTAAAATTCTAATTAGTATTGTTTCAATTGCATGATGCTTAAGATCCAGAAATAAAATCACTTGATAGTGAAAATGGACAAAAGAAATGAACTAAGTGAAATTTAGTTTCCTACTAGTGAAAATGTTCCATTGGATAAAGTTATATCTAAGACTGGTTAAAGGTGTTGAAAATCATTAAAAACTGAATCCTTCCAAGCCTGGTTAGTAGGAAAAGAAACTATTTACTTTAATTGTTGAAGACCCATCTTTCATTTTTCCTGCTTGAAGCATTCATACATTTTAACACTATATAAATGTAAAAGTACTATTGCTTGCTGCCTTATCTATTAACTTTCTAAAAAGGGCTTTCAGATCAAGAGTTTGGCTCCTGTGTGAATGCAGTTTAGTATTAAATATGAATGACAACTATCCGGTTCATAGTGACTGACATTTGAAAACATTGCCTATTAATTTTTTTGTAAAAGTTTTTAAATGTAAAGAACAGGCTTAAAATAAAAAGTCACTGCCACTTGCAGTGAAAATCCTCAACATCAAACTTTTGTGATCTGTTACTGTCCATTTGTCAGTTCCTAGACATGAGTTTCTAGGAACTGTAACATGGAGTACTATGTATTAACTGTTCTCCACAACAACAGACATGAGGTTTAATCATGTGTGTCCAAGTGAGACAAGATAAGGGACCAAGGAAGAGGAAAATAAACCTTTAACAATGAATAGCAGTACCCAGAAGATCTTAGTTTCCAAATACACAGCCCTTTCATTAGTGTAACACTTGTAAAAATAAGCAGCTTGTGTTAAGAATTTCAGAAGGAGATTAAATACCCTTGTTAGTTTAACTGCACTCTTTAGGCTTTCTTTAATGAAATACATCTAGGGCTTCTGTTTTTGGGGTGGTAGTATTTTTAGCAATTTGATTTTTAGGTGGTTCTTCAAGTGCTGTCCCTGTGGGTGTTCCACTTTAGGTAGCTGTCCAAAAATCAGGTTTTCAGGTCTCTTTGAAATAGTACTATGTTAAAATACATTTACAAAAAGTACTAGGCTAAGCCTAGTAGGGATCTTTAGTATGCACCAGGTTGGTCTACACAAACCAAGTAATGTGCAACATATTTAAGTGCGTGTTAGAGACTACACCCTGTAGTCTGTATTATTGTTCTATGTAGAGATTCCCTTGGACCCTAAACCATTTCTGGTAGGATAGACCACCTTTGTTTTGGTATTGGGGGTGTTTTATTGGTGTTCATCAGTTTAAAACCTAAAGTCAGAAGCTATAAATGTATCCCAGATGGAATCTGAGTTGAATCCAAGTATCTCAAGCTCCATCAGTTGATGTTGTATAGATCTGGCAGCTTGTACGGGAAATCTATACAGGGATTTCTAACCTAAAGCCAAGGGTAGCAGTAAGGAGACAGGTGTTGGAAGCCTTGCCAGAAATTTCCTGTTTTTAAATATTTAGAAGAAGCTTTCCTATGGCACCCTAACCTTTGGACGGCTCACATGAGAGGGTAGTTAGAGGTGTATGTCCATGGTGTTTAACACTAATCTGTTTCCTGTGGACTCAATCCTACAGTTCTGACAAACCACAAACATTTTTCAGATGAGATGCTAAAGAAATAGCAATGCCATGTGGTAATCCCATCAATCAAATAGTCTTCTAATTTAAGAAACACTTGCTATAGATGCTGTTGATAGATTAACAAAACTGCACCTTAGGGGGTTAAAAAAAAAAATCTTGATCTCTAAACCTATTTAAAGGATGTTTGGGATCTAGACTTTTGGTCCTAAGCATGAAATTCACTCAGGCTGGGAGGCAGGGTCAGTCCCAAGGTAGCAGCAAGGGGGATGGCAATTGTCCAGTCAGTTTAAAATAAAAACACCAGCCCAACCTTTAGCTTTTGGAAAGCCTGGCATGAACTAGCAGAAAATGTTTGATTCTCTCTTTAGGGTCTCAAGGTTTGTCTACATGGTGGGATAATGTGCACTAAGGGGTGTGATTTCTGAAGTGCCCTCACATGTATATTAATGGGTCTGTGCAGGTGCTGCTGGTGAACACAAACATTCCTTAGAGTGCTTTAATTTAGTTCCCACCAGCCCTGTCTACATGGACCCATTAACATACTTTAGAAACTTGGAAGTCACACTATCCCCTACCATCAGTGTGCATTGTGCCACAGTGTAGACATGCCCTTGGCCTCCTTTAACTTTCTCCCCAGCAGGCTGGCACTTTAGCATCCATTACACAGTCACTTGTTTTCATACAAAGAGTCCTCAGTAGCTTCCTGCCCAGACCTAGCATAACCTCCCTTGTACTGCACATTCGTTATTCAGTCTTATCTGAGCTAATGAAAGTTTTCTGTGGTGGTATTTAAATAGTACTTCACTACACCCTATGAAATTCTTGCAGTCATTTTTCTCTTTGTGGCTACATACAACAGGGCAACTCGAGAGGAAGGATGTGTTGTGAAAGATATCCAAATGTAGTTTCTTGTCCATATTCCTTGTTTACAATTTGGGAAGTTATGTACACTATCAAAAGCATTAGTCTGCTGTTACCTGTCCCAGAATGTGGCTTCTACTATTTATTCCTTATTGTACCTGCTGCTACTCTCTAAGAAGGGATTTGGACATCAGAGGTAATTCAGTTCATCCCACTTGTACAGGCAATTTGCATACTGTAATCCTGTTAAGATGCTAATTTTTTGTTACACTGAAGCTAGATTCTCAAACCAGTCTTTCTGGGTGACAGGTCTGTAGTTCAAATGAATCTTCACTCAACTACAACAAAGTGAATGCACAGGAATGGTTCTATGTATACCCAGTCACACATTATGATAGCATAGCTTGACTTTTAAAGTCTCTACAGCAGGAGGAATGCACAGTTCATTTCGATAACTCATTGAGCCATTCCTCTCTGTATAGGTCCATGAGACTCCTCAGCTGTCTAACCAAAGTCTTATGGATCCAGATCTGCCCACAAAGGCAGCTACATTTGAAGTTGAGTTGTAAAGCCACATGGGCAGAATTGGACCCTCAAAGAATGTAGCTTTTTAAAGTGTCAAGTAATTCTTAATTTGTTTGAGGCGGTTTATGTTGTCTCACCTCACTAGCCATGCTTTTGCTCACTCTACCATTATGAGATTTAAAACATGTTCTGATGGTTGCATTACTGTAGTAACCACTATGAGGATAAACTGTGACTTGTATTCCACAATTATAACACAGCTGCACTCATTCCAGTCAAGTTTTAGGGTTTCTCTAAATAAAGAGAGCAATATATCAAAACTGAAGCTGATCTTCAGCTAGTGTAAACAGAACTAAACCAATTCACATCACCTGTGGATCTGACTAATAAAGTTAGATTTATTAAACTTTCAGTTTACTTTCTGCATTAGTCTCAGTTTGGACAGTACAAATATGATAAGTGGTTTCATTTTCATAGTCTCTTGCCTAACAGTTTTGTATTGTTTGGGTTGCCTGTAGAGCTGGACCCTGTTAACAAAACTGACTGTATATTTAAAAGTCGCCATTTAAATCTAAGTATTTTTACTGTTAGACTGTAGCAACTCTTGAACCAAAAATATTTCTTCAAGTGGCTGTTGAATTGAAAAGATAATCAATATATGTTGTTCCACATGGACTCTGAAGATGCATTAAAGTTATTTACTGTAGCAAGCAAGAAACCAAGTGCTATGACTAGTATACATAGTTCGCTTTTATTGTACAAATTGACACACTTGTCTCTTTTGCTCTTAGTTAATACATGTGCCACCCTGTCTACCTGGAGCACAGCAATTCCAGCTGGATTTACCTTTTTAAAATCAGATCTACAACTTGGGGAGTAGGCAGTGCTTAAAGAAAAATAGTACAGTAAGCAACTAACAGTGATTCTTCAAGATGGTTGCCTTGGTGGATCTGCACTACTTGCCAACTTTTCCATTGTTTCAGAACTTTGCTATAGCTTGTTGAATTGAAGGAAGTAATTCTTAAGGCAGGAGAGGAAGGAAACATAGAAACAAACGTGATACACTACAGTCCCATTGGCCACGGCTATTAGAAGGTGACACAGGTGAGCTCAGAACTAAAGAATCTGGATCTGCACCTGCAGTAGTTTTGAAGAATCAGTTCACTATGTATGTTAGACATTGTTTCCTCACCACTTTTCCTCTACACTAAATGCTAGTTTCAGTGACAGCTGCATTGAACTGCAAAGGCCATAGAGGCAACAGCCAGCTTGTGAGTCAGGGTGAATTATTCCCTACCTCCCAAACTGTTTGGTACTCAGAAGGAATGCCATAGAGTTCTAGAGTCATACCCAGATCTATCTTTGAAAGGTATGGTATTAGGCATAACATCACAGCACCAGTCATCCAATGCTTCTATAGGTTTTTAGAGTTATTCCTATTTGTTCATGCATGATAAATTCTATAGGACTTTTCAAAAGGGCTGTAAGAGCATGGGGGGTGGGGGGAGAAGAGTCTAGTACTTTGTGCAGGAAGATCATTCAGATACTTGAATTGCTCTATACATTACAAAGAGAAAGATGTGATTACTTGAACCTGGTTTTCATTGTATCAACATTTACTGATGAAGCACAAAGCAAAACAGCAAGGAGAATGGTCGTTCTTCATTTGTCATCAGTAGTTCAAGCCATTTAGGAATGTCTTAAAACACAGAGTGAACAAATAGCCCAGTCCTACAACTGCTTTTCTCAATGGATCTTTACTCAGAGTCAAACACCCACTGCTGCTACTGCTTTGTGAGAGCAATGACTACTTGGGAAAGACATTTGCAGGCTCAGACTGCAGTGAAAGGTTATTGAAGTTCTCTATTATATCATATAAAGAAAATTTAAACTACCAGTGAGGCTTGTAAGGAAGTCACTTATTTCAGTGCCTACAGGGGAGATGAGCTGTTAAAAAAAATCTGGCCCTAGGCGTTTACTACCCTACTGAAATTAGTGGGATCGCTAACACTTCAGGCTGCTTGCAGACTCAGGAAGACAGCACTCCACTGGGTCATGTTAGGAAGGAGGCTTTTTTGTAACCAGAGGGTCTAGAAGCATTGATTTAAATAAGTTTAATTTCTGCAAAAGCTTAAACTGATACCAGAACAGAACCAGGAGGAACAATAATGCTGTGGAATGGAGCCCCTAGCAGGTACAGTTAAGTGCCACACGTTATTTATTTTATATATATAAAAATAAAGTTACGTGTATGTTATGGGTCACTTATTGCTGGTCTGTTACATTTATGCAAGCAAGGCTGACAGTATATTGCATTATTTTTATAACAAAGATTTACAGGTGCCCCAAGACCATTTTATGGGAGACACCATAAGAGATCCTTAGGAATCCCCCTCTGGTGTAAAGTTGGTCAGACTACTGCCACACCAGCCACTGCAGGAGTCCCAGCAAAAGCAGAAGGAGACTGGTCATTCATCTGTTAGAATGCCGTAAAGTAGCTTTACGAGAGCGTTAGAACCAGGGTGCTATGGAAGATGCCCTGACTGCAAAATTTGGCCTCATGGAAGGCCCAGTCCCTGGTCTACCTGACCACAAAAGCCTCCACCAGGGACATTCTTGTTGCTTAGGCACTTGCCCCACTGTCTTAGCATAGAAAGTCTAGAGGCGGATACACAAATCCACACCCCAGTTCCCAAGAAAAGGAAGATTTAAAAAGAAACAAAAACCCAGGAAAGCTTTTGTGGCCATCTGTCTAATGCACTAGCAGAAGGGGTGTTTCACTGAACTCATGACTAGCTACCAATCGCTGATGAATAGAAGCATGGTGTGATAGCATGCTCCGACAGCGTCATTTGAAAGAGGGACAGTCTCTTCTACCCCATCCAAACTGGATAAGTGCCCCATGCTGAGGTGTTTGAACCATTTCAAAGTATTACACAACTGTCCTCCACTCTCCTGTTTTATGAGCTGAACTTGGACCGAATCTCCACTTTGTCTGACCTTTGCACTCTTTAATTGCTATGACCTCACTTTGGCTACCACAGCAGTGTTTAAAGTCCATCAGAGAGGGGAGTATACATGCCCTGTACTCGAAACAACCCAGCCCTATTTCCACCTCACTACATGTCTGTGCATTAGAGTTTCATGAGCCTGGATTTGTTTGGTCTGACTGCAAGATGAAGCAAGTTGTCAAGACAGTGGTTCTGTGCCTGGCCCTGAGTCTAGGAAGATGCAATGAAGAAGTAACCCCAGACAACTCAGTCAACCAAGCTGCCCCAGAGGAATCATCTTCAGCAGACTGGGGCATTGGGACTATCCGAGATGGCTTTGAAACCGTTAATGGCTATTTTGACTCTTTTTTAGAGTTGCTAGGAGGAAAAAATGGGGTTTGTCAGTACAGATGTAGATATGGTAAGTGGCTTCTTTCCTTTCCATAGGGTCCTGGGGGTTCAGGCACCTGTCCTGTGAACTGGTACACCTATTTCAGGCCTAACTAACAGTTCTTACTAGTAAGATACTGGCTATATCAGTTTTGGGTTTGAGCCAGAAGATGGGAAGGGTGAATGCAACAGATATTCTCTGGAGACACAAATCTTGTACATTCTGTATCTGTTTCTAGGACTTATGACTGAATTCTGCATGTTGCTGTCCCAGTACTGTCCACACTCCATTAGCTTTCTAAATTGATACTAATGGAGTCCTTGGTGCTGCCTCTTTAACTCTCCGCTTCCTCCTCAGAATTCTTGGTGGGTTTTCCCCCCGACCTTTTTCCTTTCAAACTCCCCTTTGCTTGTTTTTAAACTTACAGCCTTTCCCCTGAGCTATGATGGATTCTGTTCGTGACACTTTCATTGATAGAGAATTCCTTAAAACAAAGGGCAACTCTCAGTCTAACACTGAGTTAGCAAGTCAGAAACTAACCAGCAGGTAGGGAGGAGGAGGGGGGGCTAGAATTCAACCCTGTGTTGATAACTAAGCCTGGTATAGAGAGACCACAGTGGGGAAGCTTGTGCTTCCCCCACCCTGGGATGGCCAAGGGCCAATTTGCCCCACACTGAAGATTAAGGGCTTCCCTAAAGGGTAAAGACTCCTTTGGACTTTTCTGCTACTGGGAGATAAGGGAAGGGAAGAGGAGAGAACATGGGTGTCTTAACACACTGCAGTTCTCAGTCATCTCGGGCCCCAAAGTAGGGGACAACTCTTCAGCAGAGGGGCCAAAGACACCCCAGAATAAGGGACCAACCCTTAACACACTTTGGGCCCAAAACATGAAGAAATAAAGGACTTTGTATAACCCCCAGTCATGCTGTTTGCTTCTTTAACATGTATCAAGTTTATACTCTTAGATTCAGCCATTCTGAGGTCAGAGGAACAGCAGGTCACCCTAGGACAGATGTAACTCTGATTTGCCCCCCATAATCCAGGGAACTTTCAGAATCAGCAAGACAGCTTTCTTTCCTGCCCATCCCAGTTTGGTTAGACAGCCAAGCCCTTGCAGGCACAAGGAGTAAGGGGTCTTTCTGGCTCTAGCTGTACAAATCTATCAGCTTGGTAGGTGGAGTTTCTAAATGACTCATACAAGCAGCAGACCAGGCACGCTACAGCAATCTCTGCAGCTGTCAGAGTTTAATTATTCAGCAGTTCTTAGTTCTAAGATTAATAATGAGGGGAGGCGGGACTGAGAGAACTGGAGGGTAAATAAGATCTGTTGTCACTATTACAAGAACCTTTAACACTCAGTCTGTTCCAGACAGTTGTGTGTCTTAGGCTTTAGATTTAAAAAAAAAAAAAAAAAAAAGGTACAAATCAGTTTGTCTTTGAGACAGAATGTAGGTGAAAGCTTCTTGGATGTAGTCTAAAATGTCTGTAGGTGAAAGCATCCTTGAATATAAACAGCCCCCTGGGAAATCAGTTGCCCTACTTGTGCTAAAGAACATAGGAGATTTGTCACAAGGAAGGTCTTACCTCTAAAGGCTGTAGGGGGGAAGAGAATCTGGCAGGCAAACTGCCAACAAACTGAGGCCAGGGCTTTGTGACAGTGGCAGCCTGTGGGTCTGATGAACCATAAAGAGAGCTCCTGTGCGACAGCCATAACTGCCACTATCCAGGGAAGTGTTTAAATATACTGGAACAGAAGACAGTTGTATTCAGATTAGGTTTCACAAAGCCTTATGGTTCCAGTCCTGTAGTGTGTGTGTGTACCTAAAAGTCCCAACTACTTCAAGAGGAGTTTCAGATAGTAGGAAAGCAGTTTAGGACCTGATCCTGCATAACAATGGGCCTAATTCCCCCCTCACACAGAAGAATCAGAAGAAAATGCTTTGACATACCATGGTATCTCCATGTAAGTGAAATGACAATCAGGTGCCCACAGAACAGAGTGGCTCAAATCCATGGAGAGCATAGTTCTTGTTAAAATAATTATGTTAAGGGTGAACAATTGTTAGTTTCAATAAAGGCTCAGGATGCCCTGCAAGGTGGGGAGAAGACATTTCCTTGTTAAGGTCTTTTAGGCCTCCTCTAGAAGATGAAGTGCTGGAGGGAGACCCTGGGAGCCCCATGTTAAAAATTCTGCCTTCAGAGCAAAGGGAAGATTGCTGTGAGATCCTTGCCTGACAGGTTCCCCCTTTGTCTGCCAGGATCACCTAAACCACTGTCTCAGAAAGATTTCCAAAGAGCAAAATTTTGGCTTTGGAATGGACCAAATGGTAGTTATTTAAAAACACCCCAGCCTTCTTTACCCACAGGTGCCCTATGAGGTTTTGGCACTCAAACATCCATACCTGCCATTCAAGAATTCACACTAGATATTTCCTGTACTATCAATAACTCTATATTCGTCAGGAACATTTCCAGCAAAAAAATGCAGATGTTTGTTTGGTACATAATGTAACCTCCCTCCTTGTTTGTAGTCATGAGAAAGTATTTGTTTTCCCCTTTAAAACAAAACAAGTAGATTCCTTCACTCTCCTCTCTGCTAGCATGTGTTTCCCCTTTAGCCTGTGACTAATCACTTGTCCCAGGGGAATTAGCACAGTCCCTTGTTGAAATATTGGCAGGACATCCTGGAGGTTTTTGATGATCCATGCAGTCCTATTTGTCCATGCTTTCTCCCCCAATTCAGGCATCTGAAGCTGCAAACTGGGGGGGGCGGCAGAATCCAAAACCCGAGATAAAATAATTTGTTCACAGGAAGAATAAAAGCAGAATCCCTTGACCTAGGCCAGCCATCTGCAACTACATCAGGAATTGAAGATCTGGTCTCTTCTTCCCAGGGCAACTGTTACAAACTCTGCCTGCTGCTCTTTTTTTCAGCCTAGTAACGCTGCTAATAGTCTGTATTGCCAAAATGAAGGTCAGGACTTACTGGGAAAGGCCATATCCATCTTATGCTGATGAGAGTGTTCCAGGCTTTCTGCAGTTGGAATCTCTCTTCTCCTGGCTGCCAACTGACATGGTTCTTAGTGGATTTCTCACCAGCAGAGGGCTGTATTATGGAGGACTGGGAATGCACAATGTGACATATAACCCAAAATGGGGGTGGGTAGGGGTTATGGTTATGTGGTTGTTAGCTGAAAAATATTGGGAGGGATAGTAAGGTATTTCTTTAGGCAAGTCAATGGTGAAAAATGAAGAGCCATGCTCACATTTCAGACGCCAGGCTCTGTGGGTGGGCAGGCAGGCAGGCATTGCAGCATTTTGCATGGCATTGCCTCTTTTTCAGAGTTTTCCCAAGGGACCCATTTTAACACTTAAGAGCCATAGAAGTCATGATTTCCAGCACAGTACCAAATGGGTCTGTGTGAAAATGGGCAGTGTAGTCTAACATGCCCAGGGCTTGAGAATCCAATGCTAGTGGGCCAGCGCTGTCCCAAGTCTCTGCTGAAAGAAATAAGCAGCAGGGTGACATTTTAACTCCATTGTGGAGGGCTCGATTACCAACATTTACACAGAATTGGATGTCCCCTCTCTTTACTCCTTGAATATCGCCCAGGTGGACCATGTGGAAGTGACTGGGGGGCTCAGGAGGTCTGAGGCAGCTGGAATGCAGAGTCCTGTGTCCCCAAGAAGGACTCAGACAAAGGACTCAGAGCCTGGGAACGTGACCTGGAGACCCAGAGCTAGAAATAGTAACTAGACTCAGCCCAGACCCAACTGATTTAGAGAGACATATGGGACTCGTGTTTGGGTCCATTTACAACAGACTGGTAACTGTCCAGGAGGAGGACTGGACCAGGTTGTAAACACTGGAATCCAGGAATGACATGGCTCTTCGTAAAGGGTGAATGTTTATGGGAGGTACAACCAGGTCCTCAGGGAGTGCTGTACTGTGTTTCACTTGATCTGAAAGGAGCAGCTTATGCCTCTCTTTTTAAAGACAAGAGATTAGGTGGGTGATGGTCCTCTGTCTGGGCATGCCCTGGTTGTTCAGTGGAGCCAGGATGCCTATAGGAGGGTGTATTTAAGACACTCGTAGTACAATATTTCTTGTTCTTTGCTTTTGGTTTGCCAAAGAATGTGCTTACCTCTAAGTTTGACACCACTGCAATCTCACACCCCTAACTTTTCACATTTCTCTGTCTTTCAAGGGAAGGCTCCAATGCCCAGACCGAACTACAAGCCACAGGAGCCCAATGGCTGCAGCTCCTACTTCCTTGGTCTCAAGGTACCAGAAAGCGTATGTACTGCTGCTAACATCTACTTCCCCCATGAAATAATTCACTAACCGGAATAATCAGCTAAAAAAGATATTAAATAGTGAAGAATGTGGTCAAGCTAGGACATGGGCTATTGGTATGATAACTATTGTATTTTTTTCCTGGCTGCAGCCAGCTCTTGGGAAAGGTGAGGATACTGCTCAAATATTGCTGAGACAGTCAGTCATATCATATTACAGTACTAAATTATCTGCCTGGGGTCTGCCAAGGAGATGGCTGTCTACGATGGCAAGTGAAGGAAAATGTAACTTTAAGGATATCCATTTAATTTACTATCTGATTTGCTAACCAGCAGAGCAATCATCTCCCAAATGTTGATGGCTGCGGCTTGCAGTGGATGAATAATCCTGTCAATGGGAATTACATGTGTGAATGCACGATATGAAACTCCAATTGTCTTAGTATTTATTGGAGGATAAAGTCTACTTAGCAGATAAATGCAGGAGAAGCAAATGACTGCATCAGGGAAGCAGTTCAGAAGGTACATGGCAATCCATGCCTTGGCTACGGAGCGCTGGTGCAATAGAACCCACTTAATGGAAACCCAGATAAGTATCATGCACTTTTAACTGGGTCCATCACCCTGGAACATTCAGTGTAAGGCAGTTCAATTACTGGAAGCTTAGAGATACATGGCAATGCCTGGTGTTCCCTCTAAAGCCTATTTACAGGTGCAAATTGGTGTTTGCTGTCATAAATCTCCCACTGTGCAGCCCTTTGGTCCCTTTCTACTGCTCCCCTCCTCAATATTGAGTACTAAATTCAACTTGTGTACAGGCTTTGTATCACGGTTATTTTTAAAGCAATTAATGAAATCAAAGTTAATCTATACCATGAGAATGGTTTCTTTAAGAGCCTCTAAGAGCCAGGCTGGCTCATTAGCCTATTTCTGTTCCCACCAGGGTCTGCACCAATTAAGATTCTGTTTAAAAAAAAATCCCTTGTGGGCTATTTTTGAAGTTATATTAGTTCCTTAAACTGGACATCATCACAAACCTCTCTAGAGGCTTCTGTCATCTCCTGCATGCATGTGCATTCATGAGCGTTAGAAGCAAGGAGGGGAAACTAGACCCCTATACACCTCTGGAATGTGGAAGAGAAAGTTTCTAATAAGTAATTTAGAAAATAAGAACTTCATGCCCACCTTGATATGAACAGGCCCATGTGTAACTCATAGGTATTACTAGAAACAACACACTCACTAATGGGAGAGTATAAACCAAAAATCCAGAGTGTATTTGTTCTTGACCTTACAGCTCTGTTTGTTCCAACCACAGCATTAACACTGGAATTGTACAGCAGAAGCTTTGGGGAAAGAGGGGCATCACCACCCCTGGAGAGGAGGATAGACCCTTCGCTAAGTACAATGCCTGAGCAGTGCTGTCTTCCCTTTCTCTTCCCCTGCCTCCAGCTGGATTTAGGTATCCCTGCCATGACTAAGTGCTGCAACCAGCTGGATGTTTGTTATGACACCTGTGGAGCGAACAAATACCGCTGTGATGCTAAATTCCGCTGGTGCCTCCACGCCATCTGCTCAGATCTCAAACGGAGCCTTGGTTTTGTCTCCAAGGTTGAAGGTGAGTTTTGCACGGAAGCCACTCTTGCGGGAGCCAGGTGGCTCCAGCCCCATTTTCCAGAGGAGCGGTAGCAGGGGGTCCTTTTCCTCCAATATGGCAGCAGGGTTTTGCTGCAACTGCAGTAGGACATAGTACTGCCACAGCTGAGCGGCAATCACGTGTGACATACGCTTCGATCATGAGGCTGAGCTCGCCCTAACTTTGGCTTGAACATTGCCTCCCTCCTCTCTAAAACAGAGCTGTCCCAGACAATTACCTCACATGCTTTTATGTTTGAAGTTTATTAATATTTTAAAAACAAAACAGCCCCAAGCTGTTCATTTTTATCTTAGGGTGGGATTTTCAGAGCCACCTATGGGGATTATCAGTTATTACTTTCCAATGGGAATTGGGTGTCCAAATCCCTTAGGCAGATTTAAAAGTCTCAGTGTTAATGTTTTAGAAAGGGATTACATTTTTCCACAGTATTTAACTTTATGACAAAAGGTTCTTATTAACAATACATTTATAAGCCCCAATTTCAAGGTTCAAACTCTCTCTACCATTCTTGATTTGGGTCGAGTTGAAGCTGGCCATATGGGCTGCCACCTCTTCTTTATTAATCTTTACATCCGAGTAAAGCCACTGTGGGGGAGGGGACAGGGAGAATGAGACACCAGAGAGGGTAATGCCACTGAGATGCCAACACCCACCCAGCTGATCTTCTCTTAATCCTGAAATGGAGACAAAAAAATCATCTCCCACCTGCCGCAATGTCTGAGAAACAGAGGTTGGCTGAAGCTAAATACAGATTCCTTCACAAATCAAGTGAAAGTTACAGGCACATCTCAGTGGCTTGAGTGCAGGGCCGGTGCAAGGATATTTTGCGCCCTAGGCAAAACTTCCACCTTGCGCCCCCACCCCCCCTCCCCCAGGACTCTCACACAATTGACACAAAGTATTAGCAAAATAATGCAGCAGCATCAACCCCCAGAGCCTGGCAAGCCACACAGCATCCCCCCCCCCCCCCACCTTCCCCCAAAACCTGGGCCAGTGCACTCCACAGTCCCCTGCCCAGCCAGCTTGGCCCGCTGGTTCCACACCTCCCCCCCAAAGCCTAGCCCAGCACACAAAGATCCCCCACAGCCAGGCACACAGCCCCCCCCCGCCCCGTCACAGTGCCCAGCCAGACAAGCAGACCCCCCTTGACCCCTCTCTGCCTTCTCCCCCCTCAGCCCTGCTTGGCACATGGCTCCCATCTCCAGAGCGTGGCACGCAGCCCCCTCCGGCCCAGCTTGCCCGTGCCTCAGCCTGGCCAGCCCACCTGACCCTCCCCCCCCACTCCAGAGCTTGGCATACAGCCCCCCCCCCCGCTTCTCCCCCAGCCCAACCAGCCACGCCACCCCTCCCCGCAGAGCCTGGCACACAGGGTCCGTCCCCCCCCGAACTCTCAGCACCAGCAGGCCCCTGCCTCCCTCGCATGGGGCAGAGCCCCCCAGGCAGCACATGGAGCCCCCTCCCCGGCAGCCTGAGCCTTCCCCCTTGCCCCGCCCCCACAGCCCAGGCGCCCAGTGCTCCCTCCCTGCCTCCCACCTCATCTCCTCGGGTCCAGAAAAGCCGGGGCTGGGCACAGGGGTGGCACCTGCAGAGGGAGAGTGATCAGCACAGCGGGTGACCCCAAACCCGCTCCCCCTCCAGCTGGCCACCTCCCACCTGTGAGCTCATCGCCACCCATCCTGCTGGAGCCCTTTTTGGCGACCCCAAATCTTGGTGCCCTAGATGGTCGCCCAGTTCGCCTAGTGGTTACACTGGCCCTGCTTGAGTGTATATCACCTTCCTAGAATGGTGGAGTTTAAATTAGAAACACAGTACACACAGCTTTCCTCCTTCTCCTGCCAGCAAACCTCATGTGGCTTCTGAGACGGGAGGCCGGGCTACATTTGAAATTAGATGGACCTAGCTACATCAGGGCTGTGAAAAATGTCATGCTCTGTGCAACATAACCTAACTTCTACTGTACACAGAGCTAGGTTGATGGAAAAAAAAAAAAAACTCTTCCATCAACCTAGCTACGATCTCTCAGAGAGATGGATTAACTATGTTGGAAAACCCCTTCCATTGACATAGGACCTAAACTACAGTGCTGCTGAAGCACCATAGCTGTGCCGCTGTAGTGTAGATATATCCCTAGCATGCTAGCCACAGGAGGCTCATTTAATTGGGAAGTGAGGGAAGTGCTATGCTTCCCCACCTGCTCCTGAAATACCTCCGAGTGCACCTCTTCATGTCACTGGGCCTCCTTTGGTAGTGCCACATGGCAGGTGTTCACAATCCCCATATTAATATTTTTCAGACTCCTTCTAGTGCAGTTGTCCAGAATATGCTCCGAGAGTGACTGCCAAAGACCTTATGATTGTTTGCTGAAACCAAATTTCCTTAATAAATGTTCTTAATCAAAAGATTAATGTGACTCTTAACTATGAAACACTGGTGCAGTCATCATTCACTGCTAGGAAGTCCAGTAAATTAGGTTCTTGCTGCCTCCATGGCTGTCTTTTTTAAAAAAAACAAAAAGACAACATTAAAACCCGGAGCTCTCATGAATGACTGTTTTTAGGGTATCCATTCCTGAACCCTTTGTCTGATTTTGTTCAAAGTTGGTAGAGAAATTTAAAGCCTGTCTCAGAAATAGCCTACCAATTTTGAGGCTGATATGACCATTTTTGTGAATTTCAGGAGGTGACTAAAAGTAGAAATATTTACTAGAAACAGCCGCAAACTTAGCTAGGAATCAGCTCCTGGCACTTTAATACAATACAGGCAATATTAACAGAGCAGGGACAATTTGAGGAGCAATAAGTAATTGTGGCTTCACCTCTATTGTGAGTGTGCATCAGATAGTCAAGGCAATGGACAGTCTAGTGGTCCTGTTGGGTTAATTGCACTACTTGGGCACCCAAATAGTGACAGTAACCAGAAATGCCTTTGTTCATCTTCAGTTAGCCCAGTGTCACATCCCTTCATCATATCCAGGCTGGACTTCTGCAGTTCACCTTACTTGGGACAGTTGGCAAAGGCCACATGGAAGCTACAGTTCATTATACTTAAGCCCAGCTGCTAAGTGAAATGAATTGGTGGGGCGCACTTCAACAAAGAAGTGCGCTGGTTCCTGATCGAATTCTGGATCCAGTTCAAGGTGCCAATCCTGATCTGTGAGGCAATTAATAACGGAGACCTACATGGTCTTGGTGACAACTTCTCCCTCCACCTTCCAACAAGGCATAGGTGACAGGTATGGACACTGAAGTTCATGGTTATCGAGATGAAATTCCTGTGGGCTGCAGACAAAGTATTCTGAGTGGAGGGTATCCATGCTGTGGGAGCTCCCTGGCAGCAGAAAACAACCACATAAACAAGCATGCATGGGTTATAGACGAAGATGAGGTGAAGAGAGAATTTGGGTTTCTCTGGCAGAATCAATGTGAACCTTCCTTTCTCTGCAGTGCTTAGATACTTCAGCCAAAGGCATATTAAAAACGCACAGACAGATTTATATAGGACTAAGTATCCTTTGTGGTTAAACAAATTAACAAAAACAATAATACAATTCAGAAAGACAGTGAGATAGTAGTTTGAGTCTAGGAGGGAGCTCAGCATTGGAAGGCATCACAAATGTGTGTTGAAAACTGATTTGGAGGAGAGTGTCTGGAACACAAGTAGTGAGAGACTGGCCTAAGCAGATGGCAGCTTGCTAGCAGGTGCAAAGCCAAAAATGGGAAAGAAAGACAAATGGGGCAGTTTGGAAAGAGGATTGGAAGGAGTGTCGGGATTTGGCTGGGGTTAGTGCTCCTGGGATTGGGATAATCCTGTGTCAGATTAATGAACAAAAGGAAAATTGGCAAAGCTGGTTGGATCGGTGGGCAGGAAGGGGCACTCCTGGAGCTGAGATGCAAAGAGATGAGCAGAGAAACACCCATTCTGGGCATAGATTTGGACTGCTTAGTGGCTGAGTTGCAGTGTAGCATGCTAGACCCCTTGCTTCCCCTTGTGGACTTGGAGGGAAGCAGCAATCTCTGTCCCTGGGAACTTGTGTTTGCAAGGGACACTTTCACAAGCCCTAGCTCCATGAGTAGCTCAGAAGTTGCTGTGAACAGCCCTCCTCAGTCAGAGGTCATTAGATGTGACGTTCTGAGTGACTGAGGCAGTTAATGGGCAGGGGCGGGAGGGGGGGGAATGTGGGAGAATTCCCCCCCCAAAAGGTTACTGACTGGCAGATCCAAATTTACTAGCACAGGTGTTCAGAACTCTGCCTATCTATTACCAAGTGTATTTCTGAACAACTGATTTTATTGCCTTCAGCCCATCAGGGAAAATGACCACCCTGTGGAATTTAGTATTAACTCATTTATCAGCCTGACCGGGGAATTCAATAGTGAGCCTCTTGTTAGAGTTGCCAACCCTGCAGGATTGTCCCAGAGTCTCCAGGAATTTAATATTAATCTTTAATTAAAGACTTTGTCATGTGATGAAACCTCCAGGAATACATCCAACCAAAACTGGCAACCCTAACTTCAGGCTGCTTGACATTTTAACTACTGTGTCATCTGGCTCTGCTCAGAGCAGGTCTAGATAACACCCATGTCAAATGCTGATGATCACTGGCACCTTGTTTACACTATTGCTCCCACCAGGGGACTGTAATGATGATATAGCCATGTGAGAAATAGCCTGAGGGTAAAAGCTTAGTTTAGACAAGGCCATGGTCAAATGGAAGGGCTGAGAAGTAGGAAAGAGTTGATACAGAGAGATCTTTTGAGAAGCTCACTTGTTATATTGCCATACATAAAGAGCATAATGTACTTTCAACAAGAAAAAACAAAAGGAAAGTCTAAGAGAGCACAGCTGTTAGAGACTGGACTGCAGCAGCACTGGGAACAAAATGGCTTCTAAATCCAGCAGACAGGGAGAAATAGAATTGTACACAAAGGCAAAAAGACACTGCTGTACCCCACACAATCCACAACTGGTTTGGAGGCCAGTCCTGGTGCTGTTTTAATCAGCAATGAAAGTGAGAGACCGCTGCTTACATGCCTGTTCTTTTCCCTCCCGACAGCTTGTGAATCTGTAGCAGATACAGTGTTTAACACTGTCTGGACTCTGGGCTGCCGACCCTTCATGAACAGCCAAAGAAGCGCCTGCATTTGTAATGAGGAAGAAAAAGAGGAACTTTGAAGAGCAGAGACCTCTAGCCAGAGATGACCTAATGCATCCCCTCTCTGATGCAGCTCTTTAGCAAGCCATTTTCCATCAGCCCTCTGAAATGGAGAAGTTATAATAGTATGGGGCAGGAGGAGCAGATTTTTGCACTGTGTATAATGCATCAGTTACAGCTTTGGGGTGGAGGGGTGCAGTCAGAGGCAGTGACAGCTACTGCCTACCTCAGATCCAATCTAACAGACCCATCTCTTTCCAGGTGTATCATTGTGGGTTATTTTAATGCCAATTTTCTATTGAAACCAATTAAGATGAGCAAACAGAATGCAATGCAGACAGTAATAAGTAGTTTCTGCAGCAGATGTTATACACACGTATAACAACTTCCTCTCTCACTGATACACCCTGCAAAACAAGTTTTCCCACTAGCCATCAAAGTTCCAGTCACTAGTTACATCTTTTAAATAAATTATTCAAATACATGAGATGAGATGAGCTGAGCTACGATATCTGGGGGCAGGGTGGAAAAATTCTTCCCATTCTGGGGTTTTGGCTCAGACCCATTATTTACACACATACAAACTACCCCGCTTATCTGAAATGTTTAGAGGCTCCCCAAACTGTTCAGATAACCAAGGATTTTTGTTTGCTAAGAGAATGATTTATGGCTGGGGACATGGCCGAGGATTTTGAGTAGTTCCAATACACGTGTGCACACAAAGGTAGACTGGGACAAAGACCATCCACACTATACACATATAGGACTCTGCCCATAATTTCCACAGCAGAGGAATAAGCTTCCCCCCCACCCCCATTCCATTCAGCTGTACCTGTTTATTTTCCTCCTTCATAATTTAAAACCAAAGGGAAAAATTACATTAGTCTCCAGTAAGCACCTTCAGCAGTGTCCTTTTAAGGGGAGGGGGGATTTGCAGGAGGCAAAGAGTTGGATTTGATGGGACTTTGGGAAATCTTCAGGCATCCTTGTAGAATGGTACTGTACAGGCTATGTTTGGTAAGGCAGGGCTTGGTTTCACCCCCTCTCCTTTGGGTAGGGACATGGCTAACTTAAAGAGATGAACAATCCCAGCGGATTTATTTTTTCAAACATGTTTAAGATCTAAATCTGTTAAAGGATTCTCTTATAGACTTTAAAAACTACCCCCACTCCCCCCAGGGAATTTTGTTGGGGTTTGTTGTTGCTGCTGCAAGGGAGTTTCTACCAAGATGTTAGATTTCAGAGTAGCAGCCGCATTAGTCTGTATCCGCAAAAAGAAAGAGGAGGACTTGTGGCACCTTAGAGACTAACAAATTTATTTGAGCATAAGCTTTCGATGAAGTGGGCTGTAGCTCACGAAAGCTTATGCTCAAATAAATTTGTTAGTCTCTAAGGTGCCACGAGTCCTCCTTTTCTTTCTACCAAGATGTGTGTACCATACAAGATAAGTGGATCTAAAACATGCCTGTGTGTGTATATATATATTATACTTTACACACACACACACACACTCTCCCCGTCTTCCATTCACTTTTACACATTGCACAGTGGAAGTTACAACACTTTGTTTTTTTTGACAGATTCTGTTTTAGTTATTTAAAACAGTAAGCAGTAAGTTATTTAAACTACTGTCCCTGTTTTTGCCAGGCTTATTGGCCGCACATTGGAAAGTGTTATACATGTGACCTATATGGTCTGCCGCAATGGGAGGCTATTGTTAGAAAACATGAGACTAAGGTAATAAAAAGTGATATCACTGAGTTGTGTGGGGATTCCTCACCTCCCTTTGCAAGGGCCATTTTTATCTCATCAGTGCAAATTAGAGGTTCCTCTCAGCAGGTGATAAGCCATTGGCCAGTGAGTATTACAGTGCCAAAGTTCAGCCCAGTAGCGATCAGAATGTTTCCTGCAGAAAGGGCCTGATTGTCAGCCCTAGTTTGTCTGGGGTGGAAGGGGTAGGGAGAGTTGTGTGGGAGGAAATGTTTCTGGTTTCAGACACTGAGAACTTTATATTCCATTGTTAATTCTAAATGTCAGTTTATACGTACAATTAAATATCACTTGCAAAAATATCTTGTTTATGTTCAGTAGCTACCTTTAAATTGCAGATCTCTACAGTGACACATTAGAGCTGACCCAAGCATGCAATGACACGCTAGATCATGACAAAATGGATAAACAGAGGGGTTTTGAATGGAACCTTTCCATCCAAGCTTTGGTACTTTGAGAATATCACAAATAAAAATATTTCCTCTAGATCTACATAGCACCTTTCATCCCCAAAGCACTTTACAAACTGCAGCCGATACATGGAAGACCACTGAGCCTGCATTTTTCAGTGTAGTTTCCTTTTACTGACTTGGGGGGAAAAAACACCTTAATTATTTTTGGATGAAGCTTTTGAAATATCTTATGAAAGGATCCAAACAAGAGGAGTAGATGTGCTACGTGACATAAGACAACTCAAGAGTTCTACAGCCTAGCCAGAGATCACTGATGAGACACTGAAATACAACCATTCTGGCTGCTTAGCATCACACAGCTCTTTAGTGTGAGGTGAACTGAGATTAATCTATGTTCACTACAGTTCAACATGCTAAAACTTGCATCCTCTTTGCTCTCACCCCCAATGGATGCATGAAGGTAGCAACCCTGTGCTCCACTCAACTGCCCCTCCCAGCTTTTTATATGGGTTGAAGTACTTACAGTTCTTGTTTACAAATGATCCAGTTAAAATCTTCCCTCCAATTAAAATGCTTCTGTACAAAATTCAGCACCTCAGAGCACGCTTCTCACAGTGTAGTGAGGCACTGCAGCTACTCTGCCTCAGCCTCCCACCACGCTCTGCAGCCCACCCTGGCCAGAGCGATGACTTGGGCCTCCAGACAAACAGCATCCAAGGGCTCAACCCCTCCCAGGGTAAGAGAGTCCTTTAGAGAAAGGACAAGAGCACAAAACAAAGGAAACTTCACCCAGCTCCTTCCTTAAGGTCCCAGCTACCACAGCCTGTTTCAACACTCACTAACAGGCACCTGGACTCTGAGCCCCTCACCAGTGAAGTCCAGGCCCATCCTCCTGCAAAGGGCTCTAGTCAGCCACAGTCCTCAGGCAGTTTCTGACTAAGCAGCTTACCGCAGGCTAGGAACACTGTGTTTGCTCCTCTCCCTAATCAGCCCTTCACAGCTGGGCTTTTCTCCACTTAAGTCCCACATCCTGCACAGGTATAGCAGGGCAGGACTAATTGAACAGGGCTGATTGGCTCCAAGCCTCCTGATCCTTAAAGGAGCAGGCCAGCCTGTTACAGCTTCTTATGGGATCCCCTGCATTTTCATTGAAATCATAATAGCAGGGGTAACTGGTACAATGATTTAATGAATTAGCCTTTTATTCCTGGAATTCTGGGTTCAGACTCTGACTTACTGTATGACATCTGTGAAAATGAGTTAGTTCAGCTCCAATCCTGCACATCAAAAACCCGCCTCTCAGTTGTGAGTCAGCACCACAGAAGTTTAGAATTGGACTAGCCGTGAGCAATTCAGGTTATGACTCTGGGGGGTTGGCTGAGCAACATAGGGTAAATTTGCACAATGCCTGCTTACGCTGCATTTAGCTTCCAGCTCTGTTATGAGACACTCACGTGTTTTTAAAAAATTATCCCTGCATAATTGGAGAGCATTCTGACTGATTTGCTCGTCTGTTCTAGTCAGACAGGAAAGTTGGCAAGGAGTGGAAGCAGACTAAAGTGGAATTTTAGGAGAGCCATGAAGGAGGAGAATAGTTTATGGGATGGCTGAAGGAATGATAAAGGGAGCAAGTAAAGTTAACAAAGCACAGTCCAGTCCCAAATGCAGGCTAAGAATAAACTGCAAATGTTGGAGATAGGAAATTTGCAAGGAAAGGATCCTGCAGGGACTCAGTCTCATGCACTTCAAACTGGCAGGAGCTGGGAACACTTAAACTGGTGGTCTCAGCTCCCCTTGCAATATTAGGAGAGGAAAAATAGCCTTGTGTGTTGTGTTTATCTGCAGTGAACACCTGCTATGGAGACTAGGTGGCTCAGGTAATGGGATTAAACCCTTTCATGTCCAGATCACCAGTGTGAATCTGGCATTGCATGGTACAGGACAAAAGTTATTACAATCTGATGGGGGCTAGGTGATGTCACAAACCATGACAATAGCTGGTACCTTTAATTACAAAATCTAAGCAGAGAGGACAAGGCCTGATGACAACATAGGCTCCTAGAGGCAGTCCCTCCAGGTCAGAGAGGAGACAGTTATAGGGTGGTATAGCGAAGCTTCTGCTACTCTCCTACCTGTTCTGTTGATAAACGGGGATCTGGCAACAAAGCACCTTAGCTAGCACTTAATTCACATACACAAAAATGAAATGAACTACAAGAATTGCTGAGCAATATGAGCAGCATTATTGGAGCTCAGGTATGGGATGTTGAGATGAGGCCAATGTACAAGGAGAGATTCAGTCTGGACTTCCAGAGGCCACAGCTAAGATTGCACATTCCAAGCAGACTCTTCCAGAACCAAGAAAAGATTTACGGCTCAGACTTTCAATCTGATTTTCACTTTCCTCCCATTTACTTTGCAATTAATTTCAATAAAAGGCTGCAGATCAGAAAGGAGATTTTGATCACAGTTTCTCAGTAAGAACCAGCTACTGTGCCCAACAGTGAAACAAAAAGCCCACACCTTTTAGGTTAACAGCTGCAACAAAACAAAAATCTCTCCACAGCAAGAAGGTTGAAAAATTCATCTTATCTCACAGCTCAGGTTCTATCAACATAAGGAAATAGAAACATTTGGGTGTTTGAAAAAAGTTAAAATTACAATAGAAAATTACTAAAACAATCCTAATACAGAAGTGAATCAGCAGGAACAGAGGAGAAATATGGTAATACGTATGTTACATTTCCATTTTTTTTATTTCATAGTGGTTAGATAAGACATCAAAACAACAGTGTCTCTCCACTTATTCATATTATTTTACCAGCAATTTTTCCATTATTGCTCTTCTTCCAACACAGACTCTCTCTATTCATGAAGACAGGCTAAAGCCATTTTTGAAATATCACAGCTACCAAATAAATCAATAATGCTAAACTCTAATTTGTATTCCGAGTCTGGTTGCGGGCGGAAATAAAGCTCTGAAACTGAATACTGCGGATATGAGTTGTAATCCCCTTTTATAATGTTGCCCATTTGCAAGCGATAACAGATTCTGGACTTCGGACACTTTCCAATTGGAAGAAAAATTGGTGATACAGACTCAGGGGATTTTCTAGTGCAATTTATTTATTTACAAATGTACACAAGTCTTGTTTACCTTGAACAGTGCTGGTCCAAACTGCACAAAAGGAATTTCATTTGCAGAAAACCCCATGAACACAAAGTCAAACCCAGTAGCTCCCTCCTCTCTCACTCTTGGGCTCTGTCCCTACTTTCTGCACACTTGCTGATCTTTACTGCTGCCTCTGCATTGTACTTCTTACCTCGGAAATATCTTCACCCAAAGTCACTAGTCTTTGGCTGCATGGAGCCGCATGGACTAGTTCAGGCTGGCTTTGGCATTATTCCTCCCTCTGTGCTGGTGCGTTGCATTCCAAATGAATCTCAGACAGGTATCAGGATCCAATATTCAGTGTCCACTGGAGCAGACTCTCCTGCTAGTCTTCCTCCGCCAAGATGGTGCTTAACCCTCACAATGTCTTTAAGAACTTTCTGAGCATTTCACCAGGCCTGATGGGGCTTTTGAACCTGATCCTCTATGTTTAACACTATCTATAGAGTGTTTCCATCAATTGTTCTTACTATGCATTTCATTAACACCTCTATCCTGTTCTCGGTTAATGCATTAGAACACCCAAGTCACAGAAGATCACAGCATCACACTTCGTATTAGTTTTGAGATTTTTAATTTTTTTTACAATTAAGGTGTCAGACCACTTACAAAAATGCACCACATATCACCAAATTAGTGGGGGAGTGGGACAGGATTAGGGGGAAGAGAGAGAAAGAGATGATACACTAAATAGAGAGAAAAATATTGTAAAAAAATGTATGTAATTGTCAGAGGAAAATATAAAACTAATTTTATGAAATCATTCTTTTAAAATATGCACATTTGCCTGTAACAATTCTGAGCTTTAGCTGAATATTACTGTTCTTTACAGCTTCAGGGAGTCTGCATATTTGAGGTATATATTTATATGTATTTTAATAACCACCCTTCAGAACCTTGATGTCACACGCTCCACCTACTCACTGCACACACAGCCTTCCCACAGGAGTTGTTCGCTACGTGTGTTGGGCTCCCCTGGCACTGTTTGTATTGTCCTTGGAAAAGAAAGCATTAGCGACTTGGTTCAAAATGTGTTTAAACATTGTGAAGTTCGCAAACAGATCAGAAAAATGAAGGCAGGTAACATTTTGGGCCTATGACTGAAATATCTCCCTTTAATTGACAGAAATGCAGGCACAGCTGTATTACACAGCTGATCAGATTACATATGGAGTGGCTGCCTCTTGAGTCTAATATAGCTTCACAAAAGTAAATAACTGTCAGGCTATTATGAAACAAGATAATAGGCTCATGCAGGGCTTTACCAAACACCTTTTTTCACATCATCAAAGACCCATGCGACAAAACATCAGTAGGGAGGGAGGGAGGGCAGGTTCTTGGGTAATACACTGTGATGGTGAGAGAGTGCTACTCATCCATGTCAATTCTAATGGGGCCACCTGTCAGGATATGGTTTGCCATGTGACTGGTTTCCTCCTCCTCTTCCTCCATCCCAGCTGACCTGCGCATTCGTCTCCGACACCCCTGGGCACAGCGAGACCTCTCATCCAGCACGCCACACACAAGGATGCGGCAGTGCAAGAACACTTCCTGCAGGATTGTGACAAGGCAGGGAGATGGCAGTGTGAAGAACCAGGGGGCTGGCTTTCACATAAGCAGTGCTGCCAGCTCTCACAATATGTAGGCGATTTCATTTCTATCCCAAACTTGAAAAATATTGTCCTTATCCAAGATGGACACCATCTCCCATTACT